CAACAACAAATACAGATATTCTTTCATCTTCATTACCATTACTTTCATTTAATCAATTAATAAATGATAATAATAATAATAATGATCATTCTTTATCATCACATCATCAACTTAATCCTTCTCAATGGTCATCATCAAAACCATCAACATTATTGACTAATGATTTCGATTCATCTCAATCAACTTCATTACCATCTATTACTAAGCAAAAATCTCCAGTTAGTATTTTATAGAAATATTTGAAAAAATTAATTAATTTTGCTCTCTTTTCTTTTCTAATGAAACATGATCGAAACAGAGTATTAAAGTAAATAGGATAGAAATTTGCATTCCCCTCACAGAAAGTTGTAGATATACGATCAATGACTGTATACCAATAAGATCTCAGTTGTCATATATATGAACTATAGCTCGTCCAAAAAGTCCGTGCGTGTGACTGTTTTTTGAATAACTCGAGAACGCAAACAGCTAGAGACCTGTAGCTTTCACCAATCGAAAGAGGAGAAGTTAGGGCGTCTTTTTCTCTGATAATGTATCAGACGAAATTCTTTTAAAACTGATCATTTTTGAAAAATATAGAAAAGAATGCATGAAAATGACATACAATACACGTGAAGTTTCGATTATGACCTTTGATTTAGATAGAGGAACTTCAGATATATAGTTCAAAACATAATAGACTTTCTTACGTTTCATTACATTTTCATCGAAGTTTTCAGCTGTCATNAATTTTCAAAAAATAGTCGTCTGCCACAGATTGGTCACAAAAACCGAGTTCACTTGAAAATTCAATATCTCAAGAAAGGAACATTCTTTTTAGCTGAAACTTTCAGGATATTCTAAGGACCATTAGACCTATCTATGGGCGAAATATCAAGTCGAAATTCCCTATTTTGATTTTTTCGTAAATACCTGAGAATGGATCGAAAATTCAATAAAACGGCCATAACTTTTGAAGGAAGAACATTGGGGAAAAATTCCTTTAGGCTTTTTACCACCTCAATATACTCGATTAAATGAGATACGAACGAATCAAAACGGAGGGTATCATCTGAAAAGGTTTCCTCGTAAGTATCAAAAGCACAAAATCATCGTATTCTTTACCTAATTTTCATAGTCTATCTAATGAAACAGGTCCTATTCTCATTAGTTTCACATTTAGCAAATAGTATTTTTTCAGATCAAAATGGTTAAAACATATCTGTAGTTATTATTAGATCATTTTTAATCGAGAAAAAGCCATTATTTTTTAAATTTTAATAATTTAACATTCTATTCATCTAGAAAATAAACTAAATAATTCATTAAAACAGTAAAAGTTACTTTTCAAATGATTGTCATACTTTTAAGTGCCGTTTTCTATTACTTCTATGTAGACATGTTTTATCGTGAGGACAAATAAAATGAATATCATGCAAAATAACAATGTTGAAAATCTCAATTGAAATGAATATTTTCAGTGTTCACTCAAATTTTTGAAGAGTTTTATAGTGGAATTGTTTTTCCTGTTAATATGCTTTGATTAATTCAACAAACAATAGACTTCTAGAATTTTCCCTTTCGAATTTAATCATAATTCCAATATTTGTTTTAATATCAAATTATACGAATGAATGTGAAGAATATAAACAATTCTTTTAAATTATGACTTATATTTAATATTACAAAGATATTAATTTCGAAGAAATAGGTTTTCCTAGTTTCTTAAAAATGTAATGATTTTACCATCAAGCATCACTTGTGAAGTTTGAGGACCTTTTCCAAAAATAAATTCATAAAACAATTGTAGGAATATTATTTTCACTTAAAAATAACATCAGATACTCTATAATGACTTTAGATTATTTACGCAATGTATGAGAGTTAACTAGTGTACGATTCAGTGAGATTCATTGAAACATATAGAGAGAGACAAATATATTTTTTGGTTAATATCCATCATAATCAGATAAAAAATTGCATAATGAAAAGTTAAGAGGAAAATATCTATAGGTAAAATATTCTCATAAAGATTTTACACTCATCCAAACATCAAGTTATTTTCGTTTATTTTATGTCTTTTTGTTACTTTCCATACACTTACAAGCAAATAGAAATAACATATTTTGATATCAGCAGATTAATTGGCATCATTACAGACATGTAGAAACCACAAAGATTTGTAGCTAGGTCTCTTAAAAATAGAACAGATCCATTTTATTTCATATTTCAATTCCAGAGGAATTATGCTGAAAGTTTTTTTTCATTTAATTCAGAAATGAATGCTAAGTTCGTTTTTCTTCCGATATATTTTATATTTTCTTTTATATAGATTCTTCGAAAAGAAAATATCGATTTAAAAATAACACCATATAAAGTCTTAGCAACAAGTTTAAAATATGGTAAATATATTTTGTTTTGCATCTTTTGAATATTCTTCTTAATTAATCTATTTATATCGAAGGTTTTGTTCAATTTATTGAATCTCAACCATTACAAAAAATTCTTGAACGTAATCGTACTATTCGTCAATATTTACAAAATAAAGTAACTATAACAAGTAGTGATGATACCGTTTTAACTGAAACTGGCATTCCTCGAGAAATAATGGATGCTTATGTAAAAAGTTGTGGTATGAAAAATTCTTCTTTCATTTGTTTTTTTTTTTTCAAATAAAAGAAAAATGGAATTTTTATTTTTAGCTGGATATTGTGTAGTAACATATTTATTAGGTGTAGGTGATCGACATCTTGATAATTTATTATTACGTGATACAGGTCAATTATTTCATATTGATTTTGGTTTTATTATGGGTCGAGATCCTAAACCATTACCACAAGCAATGCGTGTATCAAAAGATATGATGGAAATGTTAGATGAAAAACGTTTATTAGACTTTCTACGACATTGTTTCACGGCTTTTATCATTCTACGAAAGTAAAAATAATTTTTCTTTTCATATATAATTTTGTTAAACACGATATGATACGAGTAGTGAAGTACAAGGGTAAAGATTTCAACTATCTACAGACCGTGAGAATTGTTAGTTAGAGACTATTATTCTGTAAGAGTATCCAGACGGATGTTAGGTAAAAAATTGAAAGTATACCTTTTAAGGATCGCATAAAGTGGAAAACGGAGAAAAGCTCATGGAAAAGTGTTGCTAGTAAAGATTCTAAACTTGTTTTACTGTAGACAAAAGAAAAAGCAATAAGGAGAACAAATGCCTGGGAAAATTCTATATAATCTGGAACTACGACCTTCACTCTATCGATTTGTAACAAAAGCAACTTTCGTTTTTGTTTTGCTCTGGATTCAAAAAAGTCATTCTTATTTAACACCGAGTGTCTTTAACGGAAACATATGTTTTGTATAATGAGTTTGCACAATTTTCCACAACTCTTTTACAGAATACTCATTGGTCCATAACACCTTTATTTTATTAGCTCAAGCAACTCAGAGTGGAGTTGAATATTTTCTAGAAAACCCTCATTTTGTCGATGGAGAAACATTCAAAACTAATTTCATATTGTGACATTTAATGCCATCAGGTGACATTTTCTTGCTTATTTTAATGCAATATATACTAAAAGGGTCCACGAAAATTGGTCGAACGAAAAATAGTCGATACGAAAATTGATCAACGAGAAAAATAGTCGAAAAATTCTTAATTAAGAAAAATGAATCTTTCAATAAGAACGACAGCAGTGTAAAAAATAAATTAATATCAGTATATAATCTGTCACTGGTACTTTTAATATAGTTGTTGCAGTACTGTGTGCAAGTAAAGTGGAGTCCAACCTCTTTTCAGAACAGTTGGTTTTCAGCGGAAGAAAAAATCAAAATAAAAAACGGGTGCGAATGTCGGTATGGATCTTCTTAAACCCCATTGCACACTACAATTTACACCAGTTATGGCACTCATACCTGCAGTCATACCATCGCTAACAATTACACCACACAGTCAAAAAGCTTTTCTCGCAGTTCCACAGCTCTATCAGAATTAATTTCGATACAATTTCATGAAAGTACATGAATCTAGTAAATTTAGTTTTAAAAAGGAGTTCTATTTCATATGCTACATACACTAGAGAAAAACTCCGTTATAGTGATGAACATTTCACCAATGGCGTCTTTCATATTCTTCTTGTAATGCTTTGGCTGACTCGTCGCATTCGAAGTTTTTATTTTATTTTTTTTATTACGACTTTTTCGACTATTTTTCTCGTCGATCAATTTTCGCTTTCCCATACTAAAATGGTCTTAAAAAAAATAAATAGAAATGAGTTTCAAAATGAAGTCACAATAATTATCCTAAAAGTTATAAGTAAGCTAGAAGTTCGCTCTAGTTTATCGTATTAGATTGAATTTATTTATAGATCACGAGAGCCATTCATTCATGAAAATATCAGTTGACATGAACCATGCTAAGTGGTAACGAATGATGAAGAGATGCGTCCTAGATTAGATAGAATAGAATAATCTTCGTATGATTAGCAACAGCAGCCATATCGTGTTTCACGTTTTAATTCTGGAAGGATTAGTCTAACAGCTTGTGTTCTATTTTAGACATGCAAATGTTTTTGCAAATTTATTTTCACTTATGTTGGATGCAAATATACCTGATATTGCATTAGAACGAGATAAAACAGTTAAAAAGGTATTTAATAAAATATTTTTTTTTAATTAAAAAAAAAAAATAAAAACTAAACTTTTCCTTTTTAGTTACTCGATAAATTCCGTCTTGATTTGGATGATGAAAAAGCAATAAGTTATTTAAAAGATTTAATTGATTCAAGTATAGCTGCAATTGTACCACAATTTTATGATTATTTACATAACTGGTCACTTGCTTTTCGATGATGAAATTTTCGTCTCGGTTTTTTTTCTTCTTGTAAACATGCCGAAAATGAACAATTGTATTTGTTTTTATTTCTTTCTGTGTGATTTTCATTAAAATTATGCCAGATACTAATGAAATGTTTATTTGTTCATCATCTATTTAATTTACTATTTTTCAGATGCCAACCGTCCTTATTGAACGTTCAAGTTTACCTACAGAAATGCGTGATGCATTGAAAAAACATGTTTTACGTGAAAGACAAAGAAAAAAAGAAGAAGCTGATGCAAATGAAGCCGATAAACAAAGAAGACGTGAAGAAAAGGTTTTTTTTCATAGTGTTCTTTAATCTTTTTTTCAAGTCTAAATAGACTTGTTCAAATATAGATGGACGACAGATTAGAATGTATTTGATTATCAATTCAAAGAGAATGCTATGAAAAAAAATGAAGTACATTAGGGAAAAACATTTTTGATGAAGACTGAAATGAAATAGACTAAACTCCTCTCCATAATAGAAGAGTTCTATGGAGAAACAATCTTCTGGGTGTAATAGAACGCTCCGGGGTCTTTTAGTGCGAACAAGGGATTAGTCTTAATGTGTCTCCTCAATTTGAGTTGGTTACGAAACTCATACGGATCTGCATTGCGACTTACTCATATTGATCGTAGACTTGGAGAGATTGGGTTAAATATTGAATAAATCAAGTATGATATTTCCTAGCAATCTGCAGCTTTCAATATTAGAGCAAGCGGAAACTATTACATGAAAAATTCGATGAAAACTTAGGAAGATCACAAAAATGCTCGTTGTTGACAGCAATCGATGAAACTCGTACGCCATGCAATCATGTTTGTTGGCTTATATGTGAATTGCAACGAGGGTATACTCGTTTTTCAACAATAAACAACATCCAAATATAATTTTTTTTGATATTTGATTATCTGAAGTTCAGGATGGTAAACTCATTATATCATTCAATGAAATATTTGTATAACATTTGACATAGCTTATGATGTGATGTCTTCGTACAAAATATTTGCTTATTTTTGTGTAATTGGATCCAAAAATCTTTTATGAATAATTCAATATAACATGGTAGAGAATGAATTGAATTATTAGTATAATCGACTTTAAATGACTATGATCTTTCTGTTCATACTTGCGTAGGAAATCTCCAAACTAATTAATCACTTTTGAGTCAGAGTTATGGTTGCAGTAATACGGTATTTTTTAACTCAATAATATGATCTACCTCAATGACATCAGAAAAGCTTTTTTTTTTAATCTCCACATGAAACTTTGTATGGAGTGAGATCTTAATGAAAATAGTTTATTGAGAAACTTTCACACTTTTTTTTGTCGTTCTCATCCTAAGATACAACCATGTTAAAAGCGTGTCTTTTACATCATTCATATACACTCATTAAAACCCATATGATGCACATAGTCTCGCTCTAAAAGCAATTAATAATTTAGGCGAATTCCCTAGATTTTAAAATATCAATATTAATTTATTTTTAGGCAAAAGCATTATCATCATCAAAAGTTCAATTAGAAGATAATGCAAAAGATATTCTTAAATTAGAACGAACTATAGCTGATTTACAACAACAAAAATGTGAACAGTATAATTTATTAAAACGTGCATTAACAGAAGAAGATCGTCGAAAACATTCTCAACAAACAGTAACAAAAGAACCATCATGGACAAGTCTTTACTCACCAAGTCAAAATTGAAAATGAAATATTATTTTTAAAATTATAAATAATTAATTATTTTAGATCTTCAAATGGCACAATATGCTCATCATCCCCAACATTATTTATCAGCTCAACCATCTCATCGTTTATTAGCTTATAAACCACCACCACCACAACCTTCTCAACCACAATCATTCATTCCAACAACAAGTGCAACAAATGTTGCTACAAAACGATCACGTAGTCCATCATCATCACATATTTATTCATCACCATCAAGTAAATCATCACGATCATCACATATGTCACAAATGCATTCAAGTAAAGACATTCTCTTTAATAGAAATAAAAAAACGATTCTTTTTTTTTTTTTGTTTTTTTAAATTTTTGATAGGACCAACAAGTCCTGGATCAAGATATCCACCATCATCATCACAAGTCATTCGTAATGGAGCTCCAGGACCAGCTGTTGGTTATCCTTCACCACAAACTCAATCAGCATTTTCAGCTTATCTCAATTATATGACACCATCATCAGCTGCTGCTGCTGCAGCGGCGGCAGCATCAGCTTCATATGCCAATCAAATGCCACGTGTACGTGGTCCATCACAAATGCCAAGTATGAAAAAAAAAAATAAAAACTTAAGAAAAAAGGAAATTTTTGTTTTCAATAAATATTTAGATTATTTGAATCCATTATCATTTTTACCTCAACCAATAGTCGATCCAAATCAACAACAAGCAAATGTTTATTCTCATCATCAGATGTTAATGTCATCAAAAAATGGATCAATTATGAATGGATATCCATTACAATCTCAACAGTAATTATAATTATTAATATAAAACTTGAGCTTTGATTGTTTTTTTTTTGTTTAATGTTGTTTTTTTTTTCATGGTTCACATTTTAAAAGTCATTAAATATTTGGGTATATATAAATATATGTGTTGGGTAGAATCATTTCAGATTTTGTTTATATATGAAAATTATTTAGCCGTAGAGGAGAATGACAAATAATTCATTATCAGATACAACATCTATGAATGATCAAGACTTAAATCAACACGAAGTTCGACAAAGACTATTAACTAGTTCACAAGTAAGTGTTGACAAGTTTATTAAATTTTGCACAAATTTTCAATAGGACTATAACAGTAGTTTCCAGGGATCATTGAGATTTTTAAATAGATTCTAATACCTGTTCCTGGACTCATTAGAATTTGAGGGTGTAGAGGTAAATGATTTGTGTCATAAAATTTCTGAAAAAATAATATACTCGGGGTTATGTGACAATTTTTCATAGAGATTTTTTTTATGACACTTTGATAAAAAGAAACTCTGAGTTCGAAAATTTTGCACCTGATGGGCTTTACATCGCTCTAGTTACTGATCCATCTGCTGTTGTTAGTTGTAAAAAATTTAAGAACAGTGCTTATTAATATAAATCGATTCGCTAAGGAATTATTTGATGTTGAGATGTTTGTAGGACAAATCATGTGATCCAATAATGTTTTGAAAGTAAATTTACTTAAAAAATTAAATCAACAATAAATCAATTTATATTAAGATGTATTTAGATTAATCATAGGAAAGATATCATATTTTCATAACGTACGATATAGAGAAAAAAAGTATATCTGTGAATTTTAAAAAATCCTGTAAAGCCGAAAAAGTACGTCGCTCTAACCTCACAAATGTTCGTTAGATCATTTGAAAATAGTCTATCGTAAATTGAAAGCTTTCCTTTTTGTAGTCTTAAATGATTCTTTTTATTTGTTAATAATTAAATAATGATTTATTTCATCTCATATCAGTAGATAATATGGACAAGATGATCCCAGTTCCGATGAAACAGTGACCAAGACCACCATTTTTCACTTAACAATGTTAAATACTCTATGATTTTAAGCGCAGTATCTGATAAACCATCAATTAGAACATAATTCAAGAGAGATTTAAAAAAAGTGCTAATCGTCGACTAAGTAAATCAAAAAGGAACGTGTCCTGCATATCACTTGTTACGATTTACATGTTTTAAATAGATATAAGTAAGATGATGTCGGTTTTGAGACTGAAAACGATTGGTTTCGCTCATGTCTAAACATGACGTAATGCATAAGAGAAAATACTTCGAAATTTGTTTTAATTATAGTTCATAGAAAAGAAAAAAATCAGTATTACTTATTTCAAACAATATTTTATTTAGAGTGCATTACTAGAAAATTCCTCTGAAAACTCTTCAAATGATTTTCATGATCATCAAACACATAATTTAATTGATTCAGTTTTTGATGTTCCAACAAGATGTGTTGAACAAGCAAAAGAAGTTGGTAAATTTGTTGTTGATTATGTTGTCGATCATAGTCATCTTCCACATTGGCTTATTGATAATGAATTTTTAATATCTGGACATCGTCCACCAATGCCAAGTGTTAAACAATGTTTTGCATCAATATTTCGTTTACATACAGAAACAGTTAATATATGGACACATCTATTAGGCACATTTGTTTTTATTGGAATTGCAATATATTTTCTTACACGACCGGCTAGTGAAGTACATATTGAAAAAAAATTAATTTTTGGTGCATTTTTTCTTGGAGCTATTGTATGTTTACTTTGTTCAACATTATATCATATATTATATTGTCATTCACCTAAAATCTCAAAGTTTTTTAGCAAGTAAGAAATAGAAAATAATTTTCTCGTTTTCATTTTTATAATCTTTTTTTTTTGTTGATATTTTAGACTTGATTATTGTGGAATAGCAATATTAATTATTGGTTCAGTCGTTCCATTACTTTATTATCAATTTTATTGTGAATTTGGAACAAAAATTGCTTATCTATCATTAATTGGTTTATTAGGTATTACATGTATAGTTATTTCTATGTGGGATAGATTTGCTTCATCTGATTATCGAGTTTATCGCGTTTGTAAGTGTTTCTTTAAACAAAAACAAAAAAGATTTTTCACATAATTGTTTTTCTTTTATAGTAATATTCATTACATTTGGAATTTTTGGTTTTATTCCGACGTGTCATTATATATATCGTCATGGTTTCGAACATGCTTTTACAGGTGTGATAAATTGTTTAATAATTACAATTTTTATTCTTTGACAAATAAGTGATTGAGAGTGCGTACTCGAATCTAAAAGTTTATCAACTGAGATACAATATATGTGATTTAATGGAAATTTTCTGACAAGATTGTGTTCTCACAAAAAAACTTATCTTGAGTTTCATCAAGTGATCTTCTAACTAAATATTGTGCAATACTGAGAAGCGAAAACTGTAATTGTACTTCTTATTTTTGATATTAGAATTTTCTCTAGCCATTTATCATGAATTCTGAACAAACCTTTTAGAATTGGAAACCATTTTAATAAATTTTAAATGTAAGAGTGATCTTATAGTTAGATCGGGAGATCTCAAGGATTACATTATCGTAATATTCAAGTTTTATGGTTAAGATTCATTGATTTTTTTAAATTTGAAATTTAATGATGCATTTTTTTCTAAAATACTCCAAATTAGATAGAATAAAATCATGTTCTCGTTGTTAACGAAAGAGGTTACATTGCGTTTCATATTTTAATCTTACGAAGATTTCGCTAACAGCTTGTTATTGAGAATTGAAATACTTCGATCGAATCAAGCAAGTCTCTCTTAGATATTTGGACTTATAGAATCGTTTTGTTTCTTTTAGCTGGTGCTACTCAATATTTACTCTTAGTAGCTGTACTTTATGTTATTGGTGCAGCTCTCTATGCTGGTAAGTATTCATATTGTTCATTGATTCTACTTTTATGTGACTCTTTGCGTTGATTATAATAGCTCGAATACCTGAACGATTAGCTCCGGGTCTTTTTGACATTTGGGTATGATCAATATTTTCTTCATTTTTTTTTTTACTAAAGATTTTTCTTGTTTCGTTTAGTTTCAAAGTCATCAACTTTTTCATGTATTTGTTGTAGCTGCAGCTTGTGTTCATTATTATGGCATTTGTGTTTTATCACATAATCAAGCTAATTATTTTGGTGATTGTCGAGTAGATATTTTAACTTCAAATACCGGTTCATTAGTTTCTTTAATCAATTGATCTATGAAAACTATTTATAAAAAATTAGCTTATGTTATGTTGTAGTGTTATATTTACATAAGATATTATTGTTTTTAAGTTTTTTGTGCAAGCTTAAGCATTTTCCTACTGTTATATTTCGATAGATGTGCTAAATAAAGATCTAAATAAAAATCGAATTAGTTGCAGAACAACCTAATGAAAAAATATTCATAAAACAATTAAATAAAAAAAAGCATAAGATTTATAAATATTTCCATTACATATTGGAATGATTTCAAATGTTTTTCACACTAACAATTATTTTATCTATTCAGAATTAATTATCTGTGTATAAAAAGTCTTTGCATAATATGTCTGTTCAATGATCTGACTTAAAGTTAATTCATTCTAAGGAAGTCATTCACAGAAACTAAAGATGACTTCTCATACAGCAACTTTGTAGTGCAAATATTGTACGAAAAATATTTATATGTTTTGATTTGTTATTCAGTCTAATCAATGATTTATTACAATACTAGGAAGCTAAAACTCAACTTTAGTTGGTGTAAGCTATATTTTTAATCAAAGCTAACCAATCATATGTTAGAACAACAAATATAAATATTCATTCAAAAAGAGCATCAAATTCTTGTTCTAATTGACTGCATTTGATGATCCTCTTTCATTGCATCGAGACATCCGAAAAATAACTGAACATGTTCATCAACACTGTTTAAATTAGTACTTTGTACAAATCTCATTTATGGTTACCATGAATTATTTTTTTCTCAACGAAATAAGTTAAAGCCAGAAGAAAAAATTTAAAACATATCAGAGAGAACATGAAATCCTGATTATAGTTAATTAGTTTTTATTCTCTCCAGTAACCTAAAAGTAAACGAAAATCGACTCGATATGTTATACAAAGACTTTTCACATGTAGATTATGTCATTTTGTAAACTCGATAATTCTTTCAATGCTTGCTCTTATTATAATGATCATTGAAAAATTCAAAAATGATTTTTCTATTGTTTTATGTTGTAACTTGGATGACGCATGAAAACAGAACACAAAAAAAAAAAGAACTTTGGGAAAAAACCCAGTAACACAATTTTTAAGACAAACTGTATGCATTGATATTGCAATCATCTCTAATTTTTGTTGTTGTATTCATGTCGTTATCACAGCAGTCAACAGGTCGAGGACATGGTCAACCAGGAACTCAAGCAGTTTCTTCTGTATCAAGTGATGACTCGTCATCAGTTATACCAAAAACATCAGATGTTTCTATTTCCTCGATTACAGACAATGTGCAAATGCTCACTGCATCTCGAAAGACTCCTATGAACAGTGGTCGAGGTCGTGGTGCTCATCTGAAACAAAAAACTGTAGTGCCTGATCCTGGCGCAACAATATCAGATTTAACCATTGGTCAATTCAAGTCAAATGATCGACCAACAAAGCCAAATGAATTGGGAAAAATTGGCAACCATATAAAAGTTATGGTAAACTATTTTCCAATTGTTGAATTTCCACATAGTGGTCTTGTTTATCAATATGACATTCAAATTAAAAGTAAAAATTCTTTTAAAGTTCTACGTGAACATCGACGGTAGACACTTATGTTTATGTGTTTCATTTTTACAATAATCATTTTATACTATTATAGTGTACTGTATCAATGTTGGTTGAATGAATACTGTAAAACATATCGACAACTAAATAAATATAAAATTGTTTTTGATAATCATCATATTATCTTTACGATTGATCAACCATTTCCCAATATTGACGAAACTGTAAGTGAAATTATATCTGTAATATTTTTTAAGTTTTTTTTTTTTTCTCAACTTCATATTTGATTTTTATATTCGCAAATATTTCATCCAGGAAATCACTGAGAAAATAATGGCACCGAATAGATTTAATCGTCAAGAAGAATATCAAATTTCTATTAAACGAGTGGGTAATGCGATTGATTTAAGTTTGTTACATTTTCTTAACGAATTTTACGATACGGAAAATAATTCTAATGTCAATGTTAATGATATCCGAATTATTCAACAAGTGTTATCGATTGTATTACATGAAAATTGTTCATCAAATGCTGCTTATATTTACAATCGATCATTTTTTGCACAGCCCATATTAAAAGATAAACACGGTTACTGGGATCTTGGTTTAGGCAAAGCTTTATGGCGTGGTTTCTATTCATGTCTTGTCTTCGCCAATGGTACTCATCGACTACTTATGAATCTTGATAGTAAGTGTTAATGAAATTAATTGATCTGAGAATAACATTTGTATTTCATTTGTTTATTGTAGTGAGTCATACAATTTTTATGAAAGAACAATCATTCATTGATTTTCTCTGTGAAGTTATGCTTCACAGTACATGCGGCAAAAACCATTACAAGTATAAACAAAACGTGCACAAAGCCGAAATGAAAGATGTTCTAAAATTTCTTGATCAAAATATCAATGGTAATGATTATCATGGTGAAATTGAATTTTTACTCAATCATTGTAAACGTAAGTTTTTCTACATTCTATTTAAAAGTGAACTATGTTGTATAAAATAAGATCTTTCTGTCCGTTCACACGTGGCTGACAAAATAATTGCCTATAAGATCAATGGTATAGGTGAGTCATCATCCCAGCAGACATTTCTATGGAAGAGACACGGTCGTTCTGATGTTGCTACAGTCGAATATTACTTTAAAGAAAACTATGGAATTCCATTAAAGTTAGTGTTTTAATATTGTTCCAACTGATATGTTGTTACTTTTTTTTCGTTAAGAAGATATCCAACATTGCCTACGTTGATAATGCATAACAAAGCATTTGTACCAATGGAACTTGTTGATGTTCAACCTATTAAAGTGAAAAAAATAACTGATGAACAAAGAGCACTTCTTTGTTTAAAATCATCCATGATACCCTCGGATTATCATCAATCGATCATGGAAATTCGTCAGAATTCAAAACAACAATGTTTTGAAAAGGATTCATTTGTCAAAGCATGGAATTTGAATGTTGATGTCAATATGCTCCAAGTAACAGCGCGTATTTTACCTATGCCTGAAATCATTTATACGGATAACTTTCATGTAAATGATGAATCAATCAGACTCTCAGGTGTTTGGAGTAATACGAAAACTCAATTTCATCGTCCAACAAATTTTCCATCTGTATGGGCTTTGATCAATTTATCAGTATCATTGAATAGAAAGTCATGTGAAGCATTCTATGAGCAATTGCGTATGGTTGCTGTTGATCGAGGTATTAACTGTCCAGAACCCGTTCTCTATGAAGAATACAATGTTCAACCTGATTCCATTAGTCAGATGATTGTTGCACTGAAAGAAATGATGGAAAAGAATAATGATTGTAAATTTTTTATCGTCATCTTACCAGAGAATAACAATATTAGAGATCAAATATATGGGGATATAAAAAAACTGGTCAGATAATTAATTAATAAATAGAATGAGAATATTTATGTTTTTTTTTTTCTAGTGTGAATTAGAATCTGGTTTCGGAATTGTTAGTCAAATGATAAAATTGAAGGAAAACGAAAGCAATAATCAATGGAATTATTCAAGACTGAATAGTATTTTGATGAAGATAAATACTAAACTAGATGGAGTCAATTCTATTCTTCATGTTCCGTGAGCTATCGTGTTTTTTTGTTCATTACTAACTTATTCTGCAAGAATATTTTCAGTGATGTCATCAAAGAATTTTTCTTACGTGGTCATCGATATATGTATGTTGGTGTTGATCTTAGTCATGGAGCACCTAGTTCAGGTAGAAAATTTTCAACCGTAGCTGTTGTGGCATCAGCCGATGATATACCCAATCGATATTTCAAAGAGATCTACGTGCAAGAACGCTTAGCGGAAGCACGCAGACAAAGTCGTGAATACGTTGTAGATATGAAACAGATTATGACATCTCTTATTAGTCAATATGAAAAATGTCATGGTTATCCACCATTGGCTATTGTTATCTATCGTGATGGAATTTCAAATAGTGAATTTGATAGTGTATTCGAAAAAGAACTCATGGCAATCCGAGAAGCTTGTGTTGAGTTATCACCAATCTATCAGCCATATCTTACTTATATTGTAGTGAACAAGAAACATCATACAAGGCTTTTTCCAACCGATTCAAATGGTAATGTTAAGGCTGGTACAGTTGTTGATTCACATGAAGTTACTAATCCTACAACTTATGATTTCTTTTTGAATAGTCATCATACAGAAAAAGTAAACCAAATCATTTAAATTTATTCGAGAATATTTTATTTTTTTATTATATTTCTTTTATGTGTAGGGAACAAGTCGTCCAACACATTATCATGTTTTATACGATGATAATAAACTAAAACCAGATCAAGTTGAAATGTTAACTTATGCTCTATGTTACACATGTGCTCGTTGTACTCGTTCAATATCTATTCCAGCACCTGTCAAATATGCTGACTTATTAGCCTTTCATGCAAATTTATATATCAAAAGTTTCGATCAATTAGACACGTAAATAGTATTCTTATATTTGTTGATATTTCTCAATCATTTAATGTTTTATTTTAGAGAATCAGATATTCCAGTAAATCAAACAGTGAATGTTGACAATATGATAAGAAGTAAACGTATTGTATTAAGTTTGAAATTGGCACCAGATTGTCTGTTCTTTTTGTGAAGATATCTTTTTTTTTTATTTTTTATTTTTTAATATAAATTTTTCAACTAATTAAATAAATCTACATATTACACTTCATCTTGTATTTATTTTCATCAATACACTCTCGTGAGAATAATAAATATGCAATATCATTCACAAGGACACCGAGATGCAAATAATTTCAAAGTTTCGTTGATATTATGTTTATCGAAAACATTTTAATTCACATATCCAACAGCATAAAGGTCTAATTGAACGAACCGTCCTTCATTCAAATCCGACTGCAAATAAAGGGTAGGATTGTTGTTGCAGCATGAGAATGAGTATGTGTTTGACTCAATTGAATATGCCATTTGTGGATGTCGACGTGTTGGTATGAATTTAGGGTCTTTGTGTCCGTTGCAATTAATCCATATCTAAGTATTGAATGCTGAGTTCGTGCTTTGATATCTACTTAATAGAAAAGCTAATATATTAATTTTTGTAACTGTGTTTAGAAGGAATGTTCGGATGTCAAAGGCAACGGTATGTAACGTATTGAAACGAAAAGTGCCAATTAATGGAGGTATAACATTTGGTTTGACAAACTGAGTGTTTTATTCCATCTGATCAATGGTGCGACTGCTATTATGGTCTGCCGCAACAGAAAATGCGACTTGTACGCATGCAATAAAAAGGAAATAGAGTATGAAGACGAATCTCATTGCTATTTACTCTTGCTCGGAATTGATTCCATATTGGAGTTATAGGCAGAACAATTTTATGAGCTTAGACAGCTATTTCTAAAAACAAATAACATCTATGAATTTTTTCTTCTTCTCTAAGAAATTGCAGCACTCTCTGTAAACATTATAAATACTACAAAACATGTATACGTGTAGACTAACAAAAAACAGATCTATCACCTAATTTCAATCGATATTACTACAAGAAATAGTTAATTCAATGTTCAAAAGCTATTCAGCGAGAATAATAAGCTTTTTGAATAGTTAGCTCCCTGCAAAATAGCGTATATGCATGTGTGCGTGTGGGAGGGAGAGGGAACGGCAGAGTGGTATTACTGACTATCTTTTTTTTTCTATAGCTACTACCAAAGAAGTAGCCTGCAAATTCACCAACTCAAACCCATAGGTAAACACTCTCAAAACTTCAATGTATTTAATGAAATGCATGTTTTATTCATCAAAGAAAGCAACTATTAGAAGAACATCAAAGATGACGAGAATGTCATAATGAAAGAAAATCTATAAGTCCTTTTGGTCGCGATTGTTTGTCCGAATGCAAAATCTCGCCTGTTTTCACTTTCGACTCATAGAGAAACATGACAATCGATAAGCAACTCATATCTGTTAAGAATAAGTTGTGTATTACGATTTTGTCATTAAAGCTAATATGCACTGCAGCAAGTACCCGAATTTATATTTCTGCGATTGATTACCTATAAAATTGATGGTTAACAGTCGTACAGACAAACTCTAAGTATTAGAGAGGATTCTAATCTCTTGCAATTGCCGTAGTGTTTCGATTGAATCATCTATTGAAACATTGAGTTCAAAAGTCCCACAGGCTTTCCAAAAGCATGGATACTTAGACTTATTTTTTTTTAATGTTAAACTACGGTCTGGTTGTGAGTACTATACACAGAAGAGTCATACTCATGTCCGCATCTTCACTCACACGCAGAGCTACACCCACACCCTCCTATCGATTCCATAATCTCATCCACATCCTAAAGATTCAGGTGTGGAATGTCTTTGCTTTGATAGAATATTTTTAACCCTTATATCACCACATGAGGTCCGAACGGAGCCCAGATCATCTGTATTTTTACTCAGCTCGCATACAGTAGTAGATCAATAATTCCGCTTCTTGATATGCATTGAAGAGGGTTAGCTGAATGTATTGATGATATTAGTGTCTTCGATTTAAACATTGTTAATACAATATAATAGGTGGAAGTATCCATCAACATGTTTTCCCCATCTGGAGTTCGTGCGGGGACTCCAACCGAGAAAAGCCTTAGTGTTGGATAGGTGGTGATATGAGGGTTAATAATTATTCTGGTTATTGTGGCGCATCTTCTTATTATGGTTTTGCATTAACTATCTATTTATTTATTTTTATTGACTTTCTACCACCATTTTTGATGATTGTCTTTGGTGTACTTGCCTTGCATAATTTAAAGCGAATCCGATCATAAGTTGGAACAAGACACAATCCTGTTGCAGTTCGCTTGCACAAAGTTGATCGAGATTTGATGAGAATGGTAGCAGGAGAAGTATTGATCTATGTGGTTATAATAGTTCTTTATCTTGTTAATGTACTCTATAGTTTTATCACAACATTCATAGCAGAACAAAAGAGTGAAATACGATTAGCTATTGAAGCACTTGTTGGATACATTATCAGTCCAATATTGAATTATATTTACTGTGTTGCTCAATTCTATGGTATGATATAAGTTTTGAGATTCAATCTATATTTTATTTGTCACGATGCTTTATTTATTTTAGTTTACATGATTTTCTCGATCAAATTTCGAAGTGATTTCATTCAATTCATTTGTCGACAATCTCTTCGTTGAATGCAATATCCATTAAAAGAATACATAAAATATAGAAGAGTTCGAATTAGTGTAACTGATTTTATTTCAAATAAAATATGAAAAACATGAAAGAAGATTTTTCAATATTTAGAAAAGGAGAATTGCACGTTATGAATATACAAACAGAACATGAATGTCCACAAGAAGGACAATGTAACATGATTAGAAATGGAGTAAAATTAATCAAAAGTATTTTTCAAGTCAAAAGTTGACGTTCCACTGATGGTATTACGGATGCATAGAAACATTTTAAACAAAATGTTCTTTCATGTTGACGTTCGAAAAACAGAAAATGACAGAAGTTTTAGTGTCAGAAAGCAGAAACTATATTTTTGATGTCAAAAGATTTTTAAAGTTTTGATTTAAGTAAGTAATTAGAAAATTTCGCAACAATCTTCTATCTTTATTGTATTAAATCAATAAAAACTCTAGTTAAATATAAAAATAGAATTAATGGATACATTTTCATTTGAACATGTATATATTTTTCATCTACTTTAATAGTTTTCACTAACTCTAGGTATGTGAATGAAATTACGGGTACGGGTGTGGATGTGTGAGCGTGTAAGTGAGGCAATCACGTGCACTTATACTGAAACCGACATCCCACACCCTCTTTTTGTAAGATTCAACATATTCAAGAGTAAAAGTGGCATCTACATCAGTCACATAAACTTTCATATGCCAAAGATTATCGTCTGAATCGAATGTGCATGAATCGATTCTGAACATTAATTGGACAGTGATCTTTCTCATAAAGAGAGCAGATTTCTTCTCTTCAATGATTTAATATAAAAAACAAGTCATATATATGCCATAAAGAGAGAAGCTCTTCAACTACTCCATTTTATTTATTTGATATTGGTTCATACCTTAGTGATTGCGTCCATATGAATAGTTCAAGAAAATATAAAACAATAAAAAGATTTTTTTTGGACATGAAAAATCGTCAATCGTGCACATTTCGGATTTTTTTATGACTAAAACAGAATATATTCGAAATTGTTTGACTTGATTGTATCATTCATTATCCCATATAACTATCTTGACAGAATCTGCTGGGCAAAGTCTTTTCTCTTGCATTTTGGTAGACGTCAAACACTTATTTCTCTTCTATTTTTGTTTTTCTTCTATATTTGGGTGACAACTGTCCAACATTAGTATATGCGTAGTGTAACTATAGTATTGTGAGGCATCTTGCAACATTTCGAATTATCATTTCTGTCAACCATAAAGAAATGTTATTGTTTTCCCGCGTTATCCGTCGCATTGTTGAATAGATTGAAACTTCATGTTTCATTTCATTGAAGATATGAGATACTCATATATAGTACTGAGAGTTCAGCATTATCTTATATACAAAATATATCTTCTGTCTATCGAAGATGGTTTCTTCTTCTGTTATTAGCAAACGCCAATTTCTAATTGATCAGAAAAAGAAAAAAACGTTTTTTTTCAAATATCTTTTCATATGATACAGTCAATATCTATATCATATATGTTTAGTTATATTTGACGCCTCACCTTAATAACAAAATATATTGACGTATACATGAAAGAGAAGAAAGTGAGAAAAAAGGCCTTGGTTGATTGACGTTTAGAGAAAAAATAGACTGATATTTAAATGCGTAACACAAGCGTTATCATCATATTTATCCTGTTCGATGTTGTTTATTTGCAAAAAAAAGAAAAAACGAAAAAGGGAAAGAGAAAGAAAAAGAACGATAATGTGAAAAAAGGGGTAATGCATAAAATATTTATTTCGTCGTTGCAACAATACATACTTGTACGAATACCGTATTACAAGTTACTATCATAATTTTAAGTTTCTTTTTCAGTTATTACTTCATCAATTCCAACAATAAACGAGATGAGTACGTGTTTATCACATTTTACTAATTCTATGCATGTCTAGAATATTTTCTCCGAATTAGCATAATCATTTTTTAAAGAAATCTATCACAACTCGACATTCATCATGATCATATTTTAAAATAACATATAAAACAGTACTAATAAAACATTGATAAACCTAATTGATGGTGTGGCATGAGACTTACCGCTTATATTTGAGAAGAAAAAAACTAAAATTGAAAAGTTTAATGAGAAGATTTTTTGCTAAAAAAAGTGGAAACAATAAGACAGGGCTTCAGTGATTCTCCTAATTTTGTACGATTGTTGAATACTTTGAACATGTATTTTCATATACCTAGATTTCATTACCAAACAACTTGAAAAAAAATTGGGTGTGGACTTAAATGGAGATGGCATGATTGGTTCTGGTATGAATTAGTATCACCATTTGAAATGTTGTATGTCATAATTTTGTTTCATTTTGAAAAGGTTATGGTCGTGGTGGGAGCTTGGTTGGTAAACTCGAAGAAGCTACACATATCGATCTAAATAAAGACGGGCGTATTGGCAGAGGATTTCCATCTTTTTCAAATTACCATCCGCCTTATAATCCATATGGCGGTCCTCCTCATCCTCCAAATTTCAATCAATCTGGTAATCCGAGTTTGATCAATGAACTTGAAAAAGCGACAAATGTCGATTTGAATCATGACGGAAGAATTGGCGGAGGGCCTCCATCTTTTTCAAATTACCCTCCGCCTTATAATCCATATGGCGGTCCTCCTCATCCTCCAAATTTCAATCAATCTGGTAATCCGAGCTTGATCAATGAACTTGAAAAAGCGACAAATGTCGATTTGAATCATGACGGAAGAATTGGCGGAGGACCTCCATCTTTTTCAAATTACCCTCAGCCTTATAATCCATATGGCGGTCCTCCTTTTCCTCCAAATTTCAATCAATCTGGTAATCCGGGTTTGATCAATGAACTTGAAAGGGCCACAAATATCGATTTGAATCATGACGGAAGAATTGGCGGAGGGCCTCCATCTTTTTCAAATTACCCTCCACCTTATAATCCACATGGCGGTCCTCCTTATCCTCCAAATTTCAATCAATCTGGTAATCCGAGCTTGATCAATGAACTTGAAAAAGCAACAAATATCGATTTGAATCATGACGGAAGAATTGGCGGTGGACCCGCCCCTTTTCATAATTATAATCCTTATAGTTACTGACATTGACATTCATATCGGATGTACTATAATAAAACCAATATTTTTTTTTCTCAAATTTAACCTTGCATTATAATTGTTAGTGAAAATTTCAAATGATCACTGTACATGCATTTAAACTCATAAAGTACTACTAATAATCTGGAAGTAAATAACAATTTTCAGCGAATGTGCACGAGACGAACCATCTAGATACGTAAAAATTAAAAATATTCCTTGTCAAGCTCTTGCTTCATTTTTCCAGATGCTCTAACAATACAAGATCGCGTACTGGTAATTAAGAAGATTGATCATATTCTGGTCAAATGAAAGCTCTCACCGCCAAACTAACTAATTTAAAATATTACATCCCCATAGCGTATCTAGAGCAAGTTACTTAAATTTCAAGGCATGTAAAATTTACGTATAAAAATAGATGATCATAAAAAATATTGATATCGATCTTTTTCTTACAATTTATTTGTTTTTTCATACAATACGTTTCTCGAATCTTTCGTATAAATATTAGATACATTTGATTTGCACTGATTCTGATGCTATCTAAAAGTTTACTTATATAGAACTAGAAAAAAATCACACAAATCGTGTATCAAAATTGATTGAAGCACACATCAGACCACAAAAAGATAAATGCATTGACGCATCGCTTAGTAGTCTAGTTGATTATGATCTTTACTATTGGTCTTAAAAAGTTACCATTACGTAAAGTTTCCGAAAACATTCTTATTAATATTTCGTGGTAGTTATCACATCTAAAATTTTACATACCGACTCAAAGAGATGAATTTACAGACCTTGCAGTGGCACTACTTTCCTGATTTTTCACAATCGATTCCTATAGGACTATACCTAAACGGTTATAATCCATTCTTTTATAATAATCAATTTATTTTTCACTATAGGATATCTTAAACCAAGAATAAAGATGATGTTTAAATAATAATTATTTCAGCCGTTCGTTTTTTTTTGTTTTTTTATAATCGATGTAAGTTTTCAACATTTTTAAATAATTGAGTTTTCAAAATAGTTAGCTTAGCATCAGCAATCAGAGATGTGTATCGTGTCGCTCTAAAAACCAGGTGAGTGCGATGTGAAGGTCGGTAATGGTCGCGAAACATCAGTGAAGTCGACTATCGTCCTAAAATCTGTTCGCTCAGCAGTCGCGTCTAATGGCAAGTAGAAATTTTTTCTCTAATTCTTTTTCTTATCTGTTGCGCTATTATATTTCTTGAAAATAGTGTTTCATTTCCGAACACTTGCGTAGGGGCAACAACTTAGAGCTGAAAACACCATGAATGAGTATTTAATTAGAAAATATGGAGACAGACATATAATGGATGTCACATAATGAATGAACCATTTCTGTATTTTCGAGAATCTTAAAAAGTTTGTAAGAACATGATTCTTAAAGAAAAAAAAAATAGAAAATTTTCTGGTTTACAAAAATATTAAGTCCGTAGACAAAGTAGTCTTCATATGCAAACAGACTAAACAGAAAAAAGTATGAAAATCAGTTAAATTTGAACACTTTTATTGATTGATATGTCAACATCAAACCTTTATCTTTGAATGAAAATGTTTTATAAGACTGCCTGTGTTGCTCAAAGTGAATTTCCAGTTTGAAAAAGTTAAATTCATAGAAAAAATTTCGTTAAAATAGTTAAATAATAACTGTGATAACGAAGGAAAGAGAAATTACATGATCGACTGACGATAGAAAAAGATGCAGTACGTGTTGAATATAATATTAGATAGGAACATTCATTCGAAGAACTGCATCGAAGCCTATATTGAACACGAAATAAAAAGACAATCAATATATATATATATATCAGTCCCGAATATGTTAAAAAACGGATGTCAAGCGAAATCTTATTTTCTGCTAAATTCGTTTTCATACTGATAAAATTTTAAATAAACAAACTTCTCAATTCACTTTATCTACGTATAAAGCGCAAATTGTGTTCGCAGACGTATCCGACTAGAGAAATATTTTAATTAAACGAGTTTGACCAATAGAAAAAAGCTTGAAAAATGTTACAGGATGTACTACTGATTTTTGTATCACTTCTGCTTTCATTTTTCTTTGCATATGAACAGAAAATATTTTTTGGTGAACAGAGTTATAATTGTGTAGACTAAAAAACTCTTTTTTTAAATGATATTGCTAAAATTTGTAAGATTCTTAAAAAAGACAGTGAAAAATGGTTCATTCTTTATGAACCACCCGTTTTATATACATATACAGTGCTCATTTCCATTTAAACTTATTTTTCACTTAAATTTGCACAGGCCTAAGTTAAAGGTAAACATAAGCACTATGTTCGTTACAGTTAAATTCACTAAATTTTGAGTTAGGACCATTTATTACCAAGATACTTTTTAATCAACTTTGGTTAAGATTGTATTCATAAATTTAACAAATGAGTACAAATATGAGGTAATGAAACTAAAACTATATTATAAAGATTGAACATATCAACGATTAAATCCCTTCTCTTCGCTTTTCAAAGTTTGACGCAAATTCTTTTTTTTAGAAAACTCATAGCAACAGGGTTTAACAGCTGCTGTAATTAAAATATGGTTGTCAGAAAATGAGTCACATTTTGATATTACGACATGGACGATCCGCGCAAACGTCAAGATCTTCTCCGCCATCTACATGGACAGTGTGTATCTATAATTACAGCATTTCTACGCTTTAATTCTAATTAATCATAGTTGCTCCCTACACGTTTATGCAAATTTGATCTTGAAAAGTAGTATCAAAATGAATTCCAGTTTTCCTGATTTTTAGGTATATGCCGCTGTGACTCCAGTATCCACAGTTTTAAACGAATGGTATAGGATAAACTAATTTACTGATTAAATTCAATATTCCAATATAATAGGAGATGCCATGAGAAAAATAAATGTCTCATCTAAAATCTAATCTTATTTTGTTAAGATAAAGAATATATTTTGAGATCTAATTTATTGCAACAGTTATTACGCTAGTCAACATATTGTGATTTTCATTATTATTGTTTGTATAATTTCATTTATAGTAAAGTACGGAATTTATTTCAGTTAGGTTTTCTCTCAATCGAATCGATAATAGATCAATATTAATATGATAAACAAAGAAATCATGCAAATTTGTTTTTATTTCAAACAAACATTTTCATACAACTTTGAATTATGAACGTTTGCTCCAATCGATTGTTATATACAGATACTCATGAATACATATCAGGTCAATATAATAAACCATAGACAAGTTTTTTTCGATATTCGAATTTTTTTCTTCTTATAAAATTGATTGACTGAGAAAACAAGCTTATACGGTCAAGAAAGTGATACAATATTTTCTTTGATCTTTTGTGAAGAGAAGTTTTATACCATTCGAGTAAAATTTCTCAAAGGAAAGTACACCAAAAGATGCATCATGATTAGAACTCCAACACAAATAAAACTTAGACTGATAACTCTTACTTTGCCAAAACATTCTTTTATGATACTAAAATTCATAACCGAAACTGTATACTTATTTTTCTCTGCTTTAATTCCTTTCTCATAATAAATTGACTTCAAAAACAAATTGTCGAAATAACCAATTTTGTAGAGAAAAAAATGTCAATCATTTAAGATTTGTCGCGTCTGAAACCATTAAATGACGGAAGAGAGAATTGTAAAATACAACTAGAATTGAAAAAGTTAATTTTTTTGATTAGCAATCGAAAATTTTAAACAATTATGGTCCTTGCAATTTTTTTATAAGTAAACCAAGATGAGCTGGGTGTGTGAAGGTGTGGATATGTCTTGAAGTTTCCAGCTTTTTCAACCCACATCCAGCCAGCATACTTACTATATGATATCATACATTTTACTGCTCCAGTTAATATATACTTTCTCGAGACAGTTGATATGTATAATGAAATCAAGAATGATTATATGTGTCGATTTTCTTCAATTTCTGTTTTTCAAGTATGTGATGGTTGGAAGAATATCTCAAATACAACAAGAAAGAAGACATTATGTATTATTCTTTTTTTTTTAACTCAATATAGCAATAAAATATCTTAATTAGTTTTGCGAATATAAATTAATGAAAAAACAATCAAGACCATTTATCATATTTTATACTGATAGCTGTCTGTATCTTTTCGATCAATTCTAAATCTTGTTTAATATCTGGATGATCGGATGGATATCTAATTTGTAAAATTTCAAGTGCTTTTTTTTGCGTAATTTAATGTCATTAAATAGCAATGTTGATCATAATAGAGTGAAGCAAGTTCAAAATATGTTGACGATGTTGTTGTATGATTTTTTGGCATATCTTTTTCTCTTACATTTCGAGCAGTAATTAAGTACAATTCGGCTCGAAAAAAATCACCTTTTAAACGGTATGATTTCCCAATACTATGCAAGAGTCTACCAATATTCATATGATCATTAGGACGTTGTTTTTCAAAAATTGTAAATGATTTTAAAAAATATTCAAGGGCAATATCATATTGTTTGAGATTTTGATAAACAATACCAATATCATAATAATCCATAAGAACAAAGAAATATTCAGCTGGTAATGTTTATTCATGAAGTTGAATAGCTTTCTTATAATCTTCTAATACTGATTCATACATACGCATTTGAGTATAAGTCATAGCCATATTACAGTATGTATCAGCAATACCAGGATGAGCCCTAGACAAAGATTTTTCTCGAATTTGAGCGACTAGAAAAAGATATTCTAATGCTCTTTGATGATAATCAGTATTGCAGTAAACAAGACCGATATTATTTAGAGTCATACCTATTGCTTGGTGAATTGGTGGTAATATTGATTCATATAATTCCATTGCTTGAGAATAATAATATAATGATAAATCATAATCATCTGTTTCGTAATACACAGCTCCAAGTCCATTTACACTATTAGAAATTTGTTCTATTAATATACCAGTCGAGATTTTATCATTAATATTAATTACTATATCATAAGCTTGTTTTAAATTGATTGAGGTTTTATCATATTCTTTTTCATGAAAGTAAGCCATTCCAATATATTGATAAATTCGTGCAATAGTCTGATTAGTCATTTTATTCTTTAGAGTTTTCATTAATTTATTATAATACTTAATAGCTGCTTGATAATCTTCTTAATCAATTAATAGAAAGCCGAATAATAGAGTATGACTCGTACCTTTGTCAACTATTATTCTATAATAATTTTTATACGTATCAGCAATCACTGTACCTTAATTAGTAGCTGTTAATTGAACATATGTAATTTGTTCATCTTTATTAAAAGAAACATCGCCGATTTCAAATGATACATCCAGATCAAATAGATATTCTTGTTCTCCTGGTATGTTACTGTGTGCATGAATATCAGCGAAGTAACCTGCGTTTATAGTAAAGTTCACTGTAATTTCGTAAATAACGGCCTCAACATCGCCTCTGATTGATGCTTTTGTTCCTTCACCAGCAAATGCTTTAGCAGTATCTTTACTAAGACTTGTTGATATTAAATTTCTTTTGTTTTGTTTTAATCGTTTAATTTCTACTTTTGATAAATGTAAGCCACGATAGAGTGTAAGGCTTTCAACTCCCCATTCATCGGACATTTCCTTCAATATTTGATATTCACTTTTAAGTTTAGCACATAGATCATTAATATAATAGCGAAATGCGTATAATGCTTCGGGATCTTCTGTTCTTAATGCTTTATTTAATAACTTGTAGACAAAACTATCTTTTGTATACCAACGAAATACATCTTTACTTTCATATGAACATGAAAATTTTTCGATATCGTTTAAATAGTTTTTTGTTTTATCATTTTGATAAAATATTTTACATGTATTCACCATTTCTTTTTTTGATTCATCTAATTGTGTATCTTCAAGATTTAATAAGACATCTTTTAACAATTGAAAACGTAAGAAAGATGGCGATTCTTTAGTTAAGTCACGTAAGGATTTTTGTGATTTATTAAAGATAAGAAAAATATCGTTTTCTTTTTCTAGCATATCAATTATTTCTTGAACATTTTTAATTAAAATTTTTTGATCTGTAAAAATATCAATTATTTTTGAATATTGATCTTTTAATGATTGATATAGATATGATTGCATACAAAATATAAGAATAGAATGTATATGTTGGAAATTATGAAGTTTTGGAATGCAAATATTGGCAAAAGCACCAGAAACAACTAAAATAATTTTCTTGTTAGAAGTTTTTTTCACATAATTATTACAATCGTTAACATTATCGAAAAATAAAACTTTATCTGTTAACTTGTCAAACAGAAACTTTGTTAATTGAACATCATTGTCATTCGAATTGTTGACATATTTATCAAGCCAAATCAATGTATAATTTTGACACCAAGTGATTTGTTCAAAATCAAGTTCATTGATCGAATTTCTAGTTATAAGGGCATTCTTGTTTTAGACGAAAAATAGAATTAAGATGCAGGCCATATATTATACAATTAGTTAGAAATCNTGTGTTGCGGTTTTTAAACATTCATCTATAAGTAGTCGCAAATTCTTTTGTAACCTTATACATAACCTACAGCAAGAACTATGACTTTTATCGCAGATCTATTTTGGCGTGGTAAAAAACGATTTCTACTTCCTCGACAAAGGCAACAAATTGAATGAAAATCAGGCTTTCATGACCATTAATTGCAGTCGAAAAGTCGTAACTGGAGAATGAAGCTGCCAATTTAACACACAACGTCATTGCTTGTTTATGACTCAAACCTAAGTTACGAATTATTTTGTGACCCAGCGCTATCGTTGCGGTAGTCTACAAAATAGCTTTGGATCCATGCTTAAACTGCAGTTCGCAAACAGGATTTGGAGCCCAGAAAACCAGTTTTATTTTGTCACAGAAAGCTCTCAAATAGAAAAAGACACTGTAAAGACGCAATTTGTATGCACTTCGTTTGTTGTTTCGGTGTACCATCATCTATGCTACCCAAACATTTCTCCCTATGTAGCATTTGTTTTCATAGTGAAGGAATTTTGATTCGTCAAAAACGCTCAGTGACGTCGAGCCTAGGTTCTAACGTTCTTTCTTGGAAACATCAATGTTGATTGAATGCTGATCAATAACTTTATTGTTAACTTTCACCACCCTCTGATGCTCGTTTTTACAACAAATTTTTTATCTCTAATGAGTCGCCAATTTAGACTTCCCAGATTGGTTCGAGCAGAAGATTATCTTTTATTACTTTTCGCTATGCCCTTTTTTCGTAAAAGAAAATGTTTAACCATAAATACCTATGTGCCAGTAGTTTTTAGCATTTTATTGGATGAAAATTCTATCTATCTTTTTCATGGAGTGCTGGTGGGACGTCAGCACTAAATCCAAACCCCCCGCATCGGATTATCTCTCGCGAGCCATTTTTCTGAAAACTCGGTTTCTATTGGTTCCTGGTCTATCAACGGAGGTTTGAGGAAAATGGAGCTCAGATTCGAACTGTCCGCATTGAAATAATCTCCGCCGAAGCTTACTCGAGAAAAAACATTGCGTTTATCTGCTGATAGAGAATTACTGTTTTCTGATTGACTTGGGTAGACACAAACTAAATTCAATTTTGTCGCGTATAATTCTGACGCCTAAACTCTTTCTTTCAGAAAAGGAAATAAACCATTTTGCAACAACTGTAGAATAATTAACCCTTGTCGCCGTCATAAACCCGTCAGCTCATAAGTCCTTAGGTTTACTATTCTCCGGATTTTTTCTTACAGTGTATACACCCATAGCAGATCTAATGACCTGCAATTCAGCCCATTAGACTACAGTGCTATATTTTTGTAAATTACATATGCAAGGTAAAATGTAGAGAGACATGATGATTTACGAAAGATCCTAGTTTCAAGAATTTCTCCATACTTGATCTCATAATCGAACGTTCTATCAACTGGCAAAAGTTGTGTGCAGTTTTGAAATCGCTTTGGTATGACACTTTCTAAATTATTTTGCCAATTTCAGAAGGAGATGGTCTCTCAATTCACTATATGGGGGACATCGAAATGTTTGGCTCCATCGAACGGTACGATTGCATCATTCCAAAACCTGATGATTGCCTCACCATTATATACACAAGTGGAAGCTCAGGGTTCCCCAAGGGCGTCATAATCTCGGAAAGTTCCTGTCGAGCTGCATTGCCACGATGGTGCTTGCCATTTTCTGGCGAACACATAATGCTCTCCTACCGACCACTGGCATGGATAGCCGATCGATATTCAATTATTGGAACATTTGTCAGTGGAGGACGCACTGGATTCTCCACGGGAGACGTATCTCGTCTCATGGAAGAGCTGACTCTAATTAGACCCACGCATTTCGCTGCTCCACCGATCATTTGGAACAAAATCTATTCCGAATTTAAGACAACTCTCTCGTTGGAGGCTGCTCGTCGCCTACCAGATGCTCTAGCAGCAGAGGAAGAGCGTCTCTTGAAACAGTTTTCAAAGCTCATTCCAATAAGATGTAAATCCATCATCATAGGTGGTGCCATGATCAGTCCAGTGGTATTGAATTTTCTACAACGATGCTTCCGAACTTGCTGGATCTACGAATCGTATGGAACAACTGAGTGCGGAAATATAGCATGCAACAATATTCTCGAAAAAACCCTTGAATATCGCCTTGAATCAGTTCCAGAAATGGGCTACACGCTCGATGACAAACCGTTTCCACGAGGAGAATTGTTGACAAAAACCGCACATATGTTTTCTGGATATGTCAATAATCCAGAAGAAACACGAGCAGCATTTACTGAAGACGGATTCTTTCGGACCGGTGATATTGTCGAACTATGTGCCGAGCACGAAGGAGACCTTCGCGTGCACGTCATTGATCGCAAGAAGAGTTTCTTCAAGCTCTCTCAAGGGCAGTTCGTATCGCCTGAATTTCTTCAAGGAATCTACATTCAGAGTCCTTTCGTTGAACAAATCTATATTCACGGTGATCTTTTAGCGGATAATGTCGTAGCAGTTGTAGTACCCAATCGCGAATGGGCACAAGCGTTTGCCATCAAAAACAATTTGAAACAATTCGACATGAACAGTCTAGATCCACAGTTTTGTGATGCAATCATGCAAGATTTCCACTCGATAGCCGTAAAAGAGTCGCTTCGAAAGCATGAAATTCCGTCGAAACTGGTCATCGATTTTGAACCTTTCACACCTGAAAATGGTCTCCTCACATCGTCGATGAAGCTCTGCCGTCACAAACTGGCGGCACATTATGCTGATCGACTGAAAATGCCCAATATCATTGAACAACGGCTGAAAAACATCATTGAAAATGTAACAGGACAATCGCTCACGATGACCAAAGACAGCAATTTTCTGGTCACTAGCGGTGATTCATTAACAGCTCTACGTCTATCTTGCATGATACGTGATGATCTGGGTGTACAAGTGCCACTCAACGTACTTTTTCAACCCAAGATGAACTTACAATGTCTAGCAACGCTAATTGAAGACCCATCACAGATTTCTTCATTTTTAGAATCGATCGTTCCACAACTGCTAACTGACTCTGAACTCGAACTGAATATAACAATTGGCAAATGCAGAACTGCAAACATTTCTCCTTCTATGGTCTTTATAACAGGAGCTACAGGATATGTGGGTGCCTTCTTGTTGGCTGAAATGTTAACAATTTATCCTTCGAATTGCAAATTTACATGCCTTGTGAGATGCAATTCGTTAACAGATCCATTGGATCGAATTCGAGCCAACATGCTATTTCTTCATTTATGGAAGGATGATTTTCGAGAACGAATCATTGCGCTGTCAGGCGACCTGTCCAAGAGCCACTTTGGATTGGACAATGAAACGTATGAGTCACTTGCTGCTCAGACAGACGTCATCTTTCATTGTGGTGCTACCGTCAATTTTGTACTTCCTTACAGCAAACTCTTCGGTTCGAACGTCTGCGGTGCTAGAGAGGTAATTCGTCTTGCCGCTCACGCTTCTACGTGTATACCTGTACAATATATCTCGACAATAAGTGTTCTACCTCCTGACTTTGTCAAAGAGACAGATATTGACAAGACCTCTCCGGATCATTTAAAGAGCGGCTATGCACAAAGTAAATGGGTGGCAGAGAAACTCATGACGAAAGCGAGCCGTTTAGGTCTACCAGTGGTCATCTATCGTTTAGGATCAATTTGCGGCAGTACCGAAACTGGTGCCTGCAATCGAAATGATCTTCACACATTGTTAATTGCCGCAATCATAAAGATAGGTTGTTATCCCGCGTTGGCAGTCAACATCAGTCTGAATGGCTTGCCAGTCAATTTCGCTGCCCAAAGTATCGTCTATCTAAGCCGTATTCAACCTGATGCTTATGGAACCATTTATCACGTTGTCAATCCGAACGGTGGAGTATTATTTAAACACATAATTGAGGGCATGCACAAATGCGGTATTCAATTGAAAAGTGTTTCCCATGACGAATGGCAAGCTAAAATGAAGGCGAAAACTATGCAAGGTAGTCGTTTCGAGTCCATAAGAGAGTTCTTATTAGAAAATCTCTCCATGGAAAGTTACATGCTATCTTCAGAACAATTTTATAGGGCTGTTTCTCAATTCGATTTTCCACCTTTGAACAAAGATTACGTCATCAAATGGTTGAATTTTATATTGCACAATATTGTTAGCTAATAACGTACAGTTTTTGTATTTGAATATTAAAAAAATCAAGAATTTTAAAACTTTATCTTACCGAAATTGTTTTTCTCTCAAGACATTGATCATATTTTGATTCACAGAATAGAAAATCAACGAACAGTGATATGAAAAACCAAAAATGTCTCTCGACTATCTGTCATTTGTGTGATTTTGGCACTCGCTCCAACATTCATAAATCGGTTGAGTAACATTGGACAATAGAATGTTTGAAAGATTTTGATCAAATTGTTGGCTGAAAGTGAATTTAGATTCAGTCACATGGCAAATACATCCAAGGAAAACTTAAATTCGGAATTAAGATAATCTATGCAGATTAAAAAAGGATTTCGGCTAATAGGTCAAGAAAACAAGAATCTGAAAAAAATATGCCCAAGATTGTGGACTAGTGGAAGCAGATAGAGAACAAGATACAGAGAAAGACACAGAGCTGGGTGTGGATGTAGATGTGGATAAAAAGAACGTCAACATCCGACGCCCCTCCAAACACACGCACACCCACAGTCTAGGTTGGCCTTGCGTAAACTTGTAGAGGCTGTCCTAGGCTATTTTTAGTACTTTTCCATATAGGGTTTACTATAGAAATTAAGATAATGGAATTCGAACATTTTAAAGATTCATTTGGCATCCAACGAAGAAATATTAATTTTTTAATGCCTCATATACAAATCGATAGAGTAGCCAAGCCTCTACAAAATGGTGAAAACCGGAGATCGCTAGCCGCTTCCGTTCTCAAATTATTCGAAAAATGGCCACGGTCACTTTCTTTTAACAGACAATAGTAATCGATACACGAATAAGGTTACTTTTTATTTGTCTCATGTGTTGCTCAATTCGCACACTTGATGTGTTTTTGTGACTTTTTCCAGTTCTATATTACTATACTTTAAGATAACTTTAGAATCAGTCGGGATTGAATGTATCTAACATCTGTCAGAAAGATTCCAGCTACTTATGGTGTAAAAACAAAAACGAATTGTAAACAAAACTTAGTCATCAATATATTTTAGAACTTCTTATTTTTAAAATTAAATTTAAAATACCGTGGATTTCAGGTATCTCGCGTTAGGTACTCGATGAGTACATAATATTCTAAATGTATTAGTTTAACAATATGAGCGTTCATCCAATCTGAATATGGTTAATCTCCTTAGCTTACAGTGTGTAACCTTCTATTGTGAGAAGCACTGCACTGCATAACATTCTGCATATAGCTACATATAGCTAAATAGCGGGTGTCCCAACAATAAGGAAAAATGGACGTTTTTTCGATTTCTATCTTATAGATTGTCGGTTAGCTCTAATATTTATACCAAATATACTAGGTGTGGCAAGTAAAAGATTAAGCATATGAACGATATTTAGATGCAGTAATTGATCCAAGAGTATACAAATACAGTACATGTCGGGTGTGAGTGTGGGCGTGACTGAAGTTAATACCCACACCCCACACCCACACCCACACCCACACTCACACCCACACCCACGCCCACGCCCACACCCACGCCCACACCCACAACCACACCCACGCCCACACCCACGCCCACACCCACACCCACCCCAAATCTCATGTAATGTTATCTTATGATTTATTTTAATAATAAAGAATTTCAATTAGTAGTATCCAAAAAAACTAATAAAATATAGCATATAAACGCGTTTTATTTTTATTGTTCTACTTCGACAGATAAATATATGAAGTTCAATGGCAAGTTTCAAAACAATGCTATAGACTGATGCAAATACAAATTCGGTGATAGAAACATGCTTGAGTACAACCTATTCGGCATTAATCATTTTCTCAGATTTAGACTCTTGTATTGTTCACATAATATCTAGTACGCAAAAAAAATTAATTTTGTTCGATTAATTGTTTTTGGTTCTTTTAGGAAAAATTTAATGTCAGTGATCGATAATTCACTGCAATTGTATGCTGTCTACATTTATTGCATGGACACAAAAAACACATGCCGATTGGGCTAAACATTGTAAAAAAGAGTTGGTTTTCATCGATTATTCAACCAAAAAGATGATATTGTACAACAATTAACAGCAGATTTTTCAACAAAACAACTAGTGGTAAAATAATTTATGTTTTTGTAAAAACCAGAAAATTGGGTCATCAAAATGATACTTTTATAAGTATAATTTTAATTCAGAAAACCTTTTTCTATTCGCAATCAGTTAAATATTGCTTGTATTTTCAATAGTCATTCAGAATTGTAATGAAATTTTCATGCAAATCTGCTTCAAGATAAAATATAGTTTGCCATCTTTTTGAATAAATTTTTGAGAGAAACATCGTAGAGATTTGTGGTTTTCGACCAATCAGGTCATTTTTTCGCGAAAGATAATTACCACAACATCCACAGATAATAAACTATCGAAATTTTATTAATTTTAGAAGTTACTAATAGAAAAAGAAAGCGTTTGCTTTTAATTGATGTAAGCCCTCTCGATGCATTATATTGTTATCGCGAGTGTACAAGTTTTAGTCAGCATAGAGAAAATAGAACTGTGAGAAAAAAAAACTTAAAACAAGATGTGTGAACTCCATTTTTGAAAGTGAAAATAAAGATTACTATACAACACAGTCCGATGAATTTCTTTTATCAAAATATCTGCTGATGTGCTGCTATGATCAATTTATTGGAATCAGGCTTGCTAAGAGACGTCCTGTTAAAAAGTTCGATAGAGGAACTTTTGCATTTTCCAAGTTTTCATAAGGAACTCATTTGATTCGAGAAGAAATGGGCAATCTAAGCCTAATGGAGAACTCTAAATGTTTCTTTCATGATTGATAAAAAGGTAAGTTCGTTTTTATTTTGATATGAATAATCGCTTCTTTAATAATCAATGAATATTCATGTTTTGATATTGACCAAATAGAAAAAACTTTCAAATAAATCCTTGAGATTCCAAATCCGTTCAGCAACACTTCTTAACTGCACAAAGGAATAGAATTATTAAATTCAATCGATGCTTCATTGTTTTCTTTCGATGCATTTAGAACAGTATCGCTTCGTAAGTATCGATTTACGAAAGAGATTCTACAAAGGAAAACACTGCGATACTCTAATTGCGTTTCAATACATGAAACAAAAATATTTCTGGCGAGACAATGCCAAAATGAAGAGAAAAACTTGATTGTTTGATATAATTTTATTCTAGGAGGTTTCGTCAATAAATATTGCAGGTCGTATTGTATCTTTTCAATCAATTTATTTGCTGGATCCTCAATCAAATCAATCAATACCTAGTCTAACTTCAGAGGAAGTCGCTTTTGTATGGTTTCAAATTTTAGCTGAAATTCTTTTGAGAATGCCACAGTTATTGACAACAGGGTGTATGTAGAGGTGGATGAGTGTGAAGTGAGCGTGGGTGTCGTGATAGGTTTGAGGGTGGATCTTCCCTTCATCCAAAACCGCACCTCACACGCGTAAGATAAAAAATTAAAAAAGTTTACACTATATATTTATTCTCTATTGGAATCATTACGAATTATGATACGAATTTTTATTTTGATATTTTACGATATCCTTCGAATTAGCATCGTCAATAAATATCAGTAGTGATTTTTTGATAAGTTCTATTTGATCTAACAAATATGAGTGTTAGTTTACCTTTAATTTATAAATAAAGATAATCTTTGTTTGTAAAAATAAAGTTAAAATGAAGAATAAAGATACACTTTTTCATGTAATAGGCACATATGCAAATACTCTGTATAAGAACAGAATATGTTAGGGTGTGGGTGTGGATGCAAGTAGAGAAAAGACGAACACCCACACCCCCAATGGAATTTATTCATATTCAACCTAGTAAAAGGAAAAAAATAACCGATGAACAAAGAGCACTTCTTTGTTTGAAATCATCCATGATGCCGGTAGAATATCATCAATCGATCATGAAAATTCGTTAGAATCCACAACATCAATGTTTTGAACAGGATCCATTTATCAATGCATGGAATTGAAATATCGATGTCAATATGCTTACAATACCGGCACGTATTTTACCTATGCCTGAAATCATATACACGGAGCAATGTCATATAAATGATAAATCAGCTCGATCAAGCGGTGTTTAGAGTAATACGAAAACTCAATTTCATCGGCCAACAAAATTTCCATCTGTATGGGCTTTAACCAATTTATCATCATCATTGAATACAGAATTATGTGAAGCATTCTGTAAATAATTGAGCAAAGTTGCGATTGATCGAGGTATAAAATGCTCGGTACCTGTTCTCTATGAAGAATACAATGTTCAACATAGTTCCAGTAGTCAGATCATTGTTGCACTGAAGAAGATGATGGAAGAGAATGATGATTGTAAATTTTGTATCGTCATCTTACCAGAACAAAACAGTATTAGAGATCAAATATATGGTGATTTTAAAAAATTGGTTAGATCATTTATTAATCAAAGAGAATTCGAATGTTTTTTATTTTTGTTTTAATGTGAATTACAATATGGTTTCGAAATTGTTACACAGATGATTAAATTAAAAGAAAACGAAGGCACATATCCATGGAATTATTGAAGATTGAATAATCTTTTAATGAAAGTCAATACTAAACTAGATAGAATCAATTCGATTCTTGATGTTCCGTGAGTCATCTTATTTTTACTCATTATTGTTCTATTCTACAAAAATATGTTTAGTGATGTTGTCAGAGATTTCTTCTTAGGTGGATATCGATATATCTATGTTGGTGTTGATCTCAGTCATGGAGTACCGGGTTCAGGTAGACAATTTTCAACCGTAGCTGTTGTTGCATCAGCCGACCATATATCCAATCGATACTTCAAAGAAGTTTACGTCCAAGAAGGATTAGAAAAAGGAGCACGAGGGCAAAGCCATAAATATCTTGTAGATATGAAAGACAAGTAACGTTCATCGACATCGAATGTCGATTCACTGGGCCCTAGACTGACGGAATGAAGACAAGGATGTGCTTGTATTTTTATATTTAAATGAATTCTGCACAATGATGGTCCTTTGTGCCATAAAAGTGGTCGTTTGTGTCACCAAAATGGTCGTTGGTGCCACGGAAACGGTCATTTGTGCCAGTGTTATAGACAGACACAGGTGAATTACGGTTTCTAGACCCTATCCTTTCAGTCTAGGGAATATTATGAAATATCTTATTAGTCAATATGCGAAATATCATAGTTATCCACCAAAAGCTATTGTTATCTATCGTGATGGAATTGCAAATAGTGAATTTGTTAATGTATTCGAACAAGAACTCGTGGGAATACAAGAAGCTTGTGTTGAATTATTATCAATCTATCAACCTTGTCTTACTTATAGTGTAGTCAATAAAAGACATCATACAAGATTTTTTTCAACCGATTCCAAGAGTAATGTTACGGCTGGTACAGTTGTTGATTCACATGAAGTTACTAACCCCATAACTTATGATTTCTTGTTGAATAGTCATCATGCAGAAAAAGTAAATGAAATCGTTTGAATTATTATTGTTTTCGTTTAATCTATTTCATTGATGTATAGGAAACAAGTCGTCCAGCACATTATCATGTTTTGCACGATGATAATAAACTAAAACCAGATCAAGTTCAAATGTTAAGTTATGCTCTTTGTTATGCATCTGCTCGTTGTACATGTTCAATATCTATTCCAGCACCTGTAAAATATGCTGATTTATTAGCCTTTCGTGCAAATCTCTGTATCCATAGAAATGGCCAAATCCATACGTAAGTAGTATTCGGATATTCATTGATATTTCTCTATTGTTTTATGTTTTATTTTTAGAGAATCAGATGTTGCAGAACAGGCTACTCTAGTGGCTCAAACTGTAAATGTCAAAGAGGAGATAATGAGTAAACGCATTGTGTTAAGTTCGAAATTAGCACCAGATTCTCCTTTCTTTTTGTAACAATAAAGTTTTATCTTTGTCATCTGGTTCTTTTGAATAAATTTTTGAATTCATAGAATAGCTCTATGCGCTTTTACTCGACGAAATGATATTCAAAAATTGGTATTTTTATTTCAAGCTAAGATTCTTTCCAAATTAAATTCGCGTTTTGTTATACTATACTGAAAAGGAAGTACTCTCTTCGATGAACCAATGTTTATAGATTTTAAGGTGATCTATCATTGGATTATTTAAGCATGGATGGGCTCCTAAAAACTTAATATCCTAAAGAAAATTATAATATTTCGCTAAGAGAAATAAAAAATGAGGGACGGTTGGAGTGGGTGTGGGTGTGGTAGAATAGAAAAATATACAACCACTGGTAACCTTATGCTCACCCACGCCCACACACTACATTTGCACCCGTACCCATCCAAACCAGAACACCCACACTCATCCACATCCACACCACTGTTGGAGTTAACATTAGGTTAGCTATAACTCGAATTATAACTTTTGAGTTATAACTGTTCAACTTTTCGAAGAAGGTGTTTTAACCACTACAAAGTTGGGAGTTAAAAGTCAAAAGTTATAACTCGAGTTATAACTGATCAACTTTTTGAAAAATAGTTTTAACTCCAACTGTGACCCACACCCACAGCAGGGTGCAGGTATGAGAAGACCTTCACCCATATCCCTACGCAGATCCACACACACGCCAGAAACCCAAACCCACACATCAAAACCCGACACAATCAACAGTTTTACAGCAACATTTTGTTACATTACTTCAAAAGGCTGTAAAAGCATTAAAAAATATGAAATGTTCCATTAAACATACTCCGTTAGAGATGGAACAGAACGAGTAAAGAATGGTAACATTTACAGGCGCAGTTGTTTTTTCTCAGGCATTGTCAATGTGCACGTGAGTGAGGGATGTAGGAAGAAGAAAATTTTAGTGGACGAGTTATTATTGGCAAAAGTCTGAATACTAAATATAATCGGCCGTCGTGAACGATCGAAGCAGTGACTTTTATTGGTATTCAATTTAGAAATAGGTGACGCACTCTTTCTGGCACAAAAAAGGCAAGTTTTATTTTTGTTTGATTCTAATCATCATAACTAGGGTGAATAACACATATTTTGCTACTATTAGAACGATTCATTTTAATGGAGAGAGCTATAGCTGGCAACAATAAATGATCGGTCTTATAGAGGATTCCTAACGCACTAGTGTGATTTTTTTTGCGTTTCTGAATGGTTTTTTTAAATTGAGAATTTGGGTGGGTATGGGTGTGGATGTGGGTGAGTGTGGGTGTGGGAGTGCACGGGTATGAGTGGGTTTGGCTATGGCTGTGGGTGTGTGGGTGGGAAAAGAACATGCATTCCTCATATCCGCACCCATACCCACCCCCAACACATTCACACCTACACCCTCAGTCACAGATATCAAGAGACAAAAAAAGTCACTGCAGTAGAGTAAAAAGCACTCAAAAAAGACTGTTTTATTATTTACTGTAGTGATTATGACGTGGATATAGATAACCGAGAGATTTATTTGACTATTATAGGGTTCGAATAGTAAAGAATGACTCGTGTCTGTATGTTGACCAGTCCAGTATGCCTGTTTCTACTGTTAAGGAGAAAACCTTTCCACTTCCAACTATATTTTGTTGCCTACTCTATTGTTTTCTTTTGGGACCCCGAAAAATGTTTTTCTAGACATTTAGATCGATCATTCGAATATTCGCAGGTTGATGGGTGGGTAGGTGTGGAAAAAGAGAGTGCGTATATTCACCTCCATCCAAAAGACCTTCAATCCGAAACTGATGAGCGAAATAGATTATAACCACTGAGATCATTTTGATACGAATCGCTGATGAAAAAAAGAGTTGATAGTAGAAAGGTCGAAAGGAAAAATGTCGAAAAAGTGAAAGGGAAAAATATCGAAAGGGAGAAATGTCTAAAAGAAAAATGTTGAAAGGGAAGAAGGCAGAAAAAAAATATATTGATGTGGAAAATAGTCGAAAGTGTTGTAGAAAATTCTGACTACAGAAACATGATTTATTGTGTACGTTAATTATACTAACATATGGTAATAGAAATAAAACATAAGTCAAGAGATAAAAAGAAAAAATTAAAAAATTTTATTTTTCTCGTTTTCCAACTGTAAACGATAAGTCATCATAAATACGTGGAATAGGTGTTCTTTCATTCATTGCTCATTTTTTAACTTTTTCACGAAAATCACGAACTTCAATATTTTCTTTCTCTGCAGGTTGACTATGCTCATCAATTATTTTAGTTAATTTACCATTGAAATCTGTAGGAATTTTAGAAGAAGGGTGTGGATGTTGGTGAGGGTGTGGGTGTGGGTTGGGTGTGGGTGTGCGTGTGGGTGGGTGTGGGTTGGGTGTGGGTGTGGGTGGGTGTGGGGTGTGGGTGTCGGTGTGGGTGGGTGTGGGTTAGGTGTAGGTGTGGGTGTGGGTGTTCGACTTCTCTCCACTTGCAGCCACACCCGCACCCACACCCACCCACCCGCATCCGCACACACCCACATCCGCCCACACCCACGCCCTTTGTGAACGTATCTATTTAAGATTGTTTGTATCAAGGAAGATTGATTGAAAAGTTTTATCGTATCCTCGTAGCTGATGTTTTTAAATAGAAACAGTTTCTTTATCTCAGATAAGTCTGTGCGCTCCAACGTCGTGCATGTTGCGTAACGTACATAGCATCTCACATCATCAGCAACAAGAGTGAACCGAATGTATAGAATGGGGTAACGTAATATGCCACTGTTATCAACCAGAAATGATGATGCACCACATCTGTATTCTGGTTGGTCCATATTTCTTTGATTTATTTTTTTTAAATAGCTCTTCTCATCAATTGCACTAATTATATTTATTAGGATACTGTGTAATTGTAGAATTTACAATGGGTTATAGACAAGACGAACCAAGAAATACAGTGAACAATAGAAGTCAGATTTTAAAAAAACCATTGAGATACAGAATTACAATTTTGATTGAACTGCAGCTGGTCAATTCTTACAAAAAAAATATATTGACATAAGAAAATTAGAAATAATTGAACATTATATAAATTTCATTAATTTTCATATAAAAATTAACTCAAAAGACAGAACTAGATTTATACAAAAAGAGATCAAAAGGATAATATTTTAGAAATATTTTTTACATCTTGATTGTGAGACAATAGAGAATTTGATATATATTTTATTCGCCGGCAAGACGTAAGAGTTATTGACGGTAAAAAAAAAGAAATAACAAAAACTGACTAAAGAATATATTAAAACTTTTCTTTTTATTAAGATGAGAGATTTATCAAGAAAAATCCTGTTCGCTGAAAAGAGAACAACTTTAACAAAACCACCGAATTAAGTATCTACCGAATTCGAATGTTCAAATTCAGATTCAAGCTTGAGTTCATCTAGGAAGCTTCGGTTAGGTCTTGCGTGCATTCATTTTCAGTTAATTAATAAATAGGAGTAGAAGTAAGCTAGAAAAAAAGATTTCCATGTTGTCTTTGATGAGTTCATACACAATTAAACAAATGCTTAAAATGTTGAAGAGCCCTAACATGAGAAGAATAAATTAACCATCTTCAGAAATATCTAAATTCCAACCCGAATTTCATAATCGCACAAGAACTCTAACCCCAATATTCAGATCAAACGAGAATATGAATTGTTCAGTTCTAAACAGCTAACCAAACTTCAAATTCAGTACATATCTAAAAACGGTTAATAAAAACTCACAAGTCTATTGAAAATGATCGTAATGAACAGCAAAGATTTAGCCGTCAAAAAGAAAGGAGGAGTGTTCAATCAATCTGTAAAAAAAATATCTGTAAAAAAATGGTTACAACCTATTGTTGGTAACGTTTTTCATAGAAATAGGTAATAAAATAATGATTTTCCGTTACTTTAATATATATATATTGTTTGTCTTCTGACTTATTTAGTCATTTGTCGTATTTATGCTCCTACTGAGGCTTGACAATACTGTAATATGTATAACTGTGTCTCACTTCACACGAACTAGGCTGTACAATCGTGACGCGCCCCATATGAATTCGAACCAGATTAGCTCCGTATGGTACTTATTTGTATTTTTTTCACGAAAAAGCTTTTGGTCCTTTTATAAAATCTTCAGACTAGAAAACATAACAATGTAAGATCGAAATTATTTTGCTGATGTCTCAATATTATAATCAATGTTAATTTTTTAAATATTTCGAAACCATAATCATTATTTGTATAGATTAAAACTCATTATCATAAAAACCCTTTTCTAAATTTTTATTCTATTCCAATCAAATTCTACAATGAAATTATCTATGAATTTGATTTAGAAAATCTAATGGCATTTATCTTCTTATTAGTTTAACATATAAATGTTATAGAAAATCAGTTCAAACTAGACAAAATGAAAAGAACAATGATGATTCGAAGATTCGAACCGAAAATGATGANTGAGCCAATTAAAAGATAGGATAGCATGATAGAAATATGACGACTATTACATCACTTTATATCGTAAAAATGTTCACATTTATTTGCATCAATCGAAATAAAAAATCAGTGTGTGCTTCTTGTTTGAAGAGTACGACAAAATCATATTTTTCTTTCAAAAATGTTTGTTTAAAATTCGAAAAAAGCTCGAGTACGAGTACTAGATCCCTCGAGTACGAGTACAAGTACGAGTACTGACCCTTCGAGTACGAGTACGAGTACGAGTACTGACCCTCCGAGTACGAGTACGAGTACGAGTACGCCAAAAATCGTACTCGAGTACGAGTACTTCGAGTATTTTGCCCAGCTCTGATCGATTGTGCTACATCAATATTGGTCATCAAATGCTACTCATTTACAATCGGTCATATTTTGTACAGCCTACTTTAAATAATCAATACGGTTACTGGGATCTTGGTCTAGGTAAAGCTGCATGGCGTGGTTTTTATTCATGTCTTGTCTTGGCAAATGGTACTCATCGATTACTCATGGATCTTGGCGGTAAGCGTCAGTAAAACGAATCAATCTCATGAGGATTTGTACGTTTGATGAAATATGATTTAAAAGAAGTGTTGAAATGCAGAGCTGTTAAATGTGACCTTACACATAAACTAACAAATACCTTAGCAACATTTACCTTTGAAATGCATAAAAAATTAGTTTGTTCAAAATATTTCGGTTATTTTCGTTGTTGGGATCCGAAATAAAAAAATTGCCACTTTAGTTGTAGAGCAAAATTTACAACAGAAAACGTACTTTTTGACTGTATGTTGTCTTGAAATAAGGCAGCTAAAATTTTGTTTTTATATCAGTCTAATTTTAAAACAAAATTAGAAAAGTAGCTACTGAAAAAATACTTTCAGTTGCAAGCTAAGTTCAGTGTGATATGACATTATGTAAAGAAGCTGTTGCGTCTACAAAATAGCTGACTTCGACAAGTGTGAGCATCGTCACAATGAGACTCATGAGATTCATCATCAAAAAGCAAATTTTTCACCTTTCAAATATGGCTTCACTCCTCACAAACGAAAATAGATACACCATTGCTGAATCAATATTTTGGAAGAAAAACACAAAATTATGGTCATTGTCTATAATTTTTCGTTTATATGAAATACGTTCAACTAGGTCACAAATGAACAAACATTGTTTCTAGAAACTTTAGTCAAAATATTTCAGAGATTCCTTCATTCGTCTAAAACAAAAGCAGACATTCAATTTCTGTGCGCACATTCGAACAGAGCACAAAAATTAAAGTCTTGTTCTGATATACATGTGGACTATTTTCTTATCGCATTATTTTAAGGATTAAAAGACATAATGATGAAAAAAAATGTCTTAATCTTCCAAAAATTGCACTAAGAATTTTTATGTTTGTTATAGTGAGTCATGCAGTTTTTATGAAATAACAATCATTTCTTGATTTTCTCTGTGAAGTTATGCTTCGCAGTCCACTTGGAAAAATGCATTATAAAAATAAGAGCAACGTTCAAAAAGCCGACATTGAAGATGTTGTAAAATTTCTCGATCCACATATCAGTAGCAATCATTATAATGGTGAAATTGAGTTTTTATTCAATCATTGTCAAGGTAAATATTTTGAATTATTTCTAATAAAATGTGAACTATGTTGTATAAAGCAAGGTCTTCTTGTACGTTCACATGTGGCTAATAAAACGGTTCGATATAAAATTGATGGTTTAGCTAATGCAGCATCTAAACAGACATTCTTATTGACAAGAAACGGTCATAGTTCTGATACTACAGTCGAAGATTATTATAAAAAGGAATATGGAATTAAATTAAAGTTAGTATATTTAATACCGCTCTATATCATGTAGTATAGTAGTAGTTCTTTTTCAATAAGCAGATATCCAACATTGCCTGCATTGAAAATGCATAGGGATGCCTTTGTACCAATTGAATTTATTCATATTCAACCTGTTAAAAGAAGAAAAAATAACTGATGAACAAAGAGCACTTCTTTGTTTGAAATCATCCATGATGTCAGTAGAATATCATCAATCAATCATGAAAATTCGTCAGAATCCACAACATCAATGTTTTGAACAGGATCCATTTATCAATGCATGGAATTTAAATATCAATGTCAATATGCTTACAATATCGGCACGTATTTTACCTATGCCCGAAATCATATACACGGATCAATGTCATATAAATGATAAATCAGTTCGATCAAGCGGTGTTTGGAATAATACGAAAACTCAATTTCATCAACCAACAAAATTTCCATCTGTATGGGCTTTAATCAATTTATCATCATCATTGAATGCAGAATTATGTGAAGCATTCTATAAACAATTGAGCAAAGTTGCGATTGATCGAGGTATAAAATGTCCGGCACCTGTTCTCTATGAAGAATACAATGCTCAACATAGTTCCAGTAGTCAGATCATTGTTGCACTGAAAAAGATGATGAAAGAGAATGATGATTGTAAATTTTTTATCGCCATCTTACCAGAACAAAGCAGTATTAGAGATCAAATATATGGTGATTTTAAAAAATTGGTTAGATCATTTGTTAATCAAATAGAATTCGAATGTTTTTTATTTTTGTTTTAGTGTGAATTACAATATGGTTTCGGAATTGTTACACAGATGATTAAATTAAAAGAAAACGAAGGCACATATCCATGGAATTATTCAAGATTGAATAATCTTTTGATGAAAATCAATACTAAACTAGATGGAATCAATTCGATTCTTGATGTTCCGTAAGTCATATTATTTTTGTTCATTATTGTTCTATTCTACCAAAATATTTTTAGTGATGTTGTCAGAGATTTCTTCTTACGTGGACATTGATATATGTATGTTGGTATTGGTCTCAGTCATGGAGTACCGGGTTCAGGTAGAAAATTTTCAACCGTAGCTGTTGTTGCATCAGCCGACGATATACCCAATCGATATTTCAAAGAAGTTTACGTCCAAGAACGATTAGAAAAAGAAACACGAGGGCAAAGCCGTGAATATGTTGTAGATATGAAAGATATTATGAAATCTCTTATTAGTCAATATGACAAATATCATGGTTATCCACCAAAAGCGATTGTTATCTATCATGATGCAATTTCAAATAGTGAATTTGATAATGTATTCGAACAAGAACTCACGGCAATACGAGAAGCTTGTGTTGAATTATTATCAATCTATCAACCTTGTCTTACTTATATTGTGGTCAATAAAAGACATCATACCAGATTTTTTCCAACCGATTCCAAGGGTAATGTTAAGGCTGATACAGTTGTTGATTCACATGAAGTTACTAATCCTACAACTTATGATTTCTTTTTGAATAGTCACCATGCAGAAAAAGTAAATGAAATCGTTTGATTTATTATTGTTTTCGTTTAATCTATTTCATTGGTGTATAGGGAACAAGTCGTCCAGCACATTATCATGTTTTGTACGATGATAATAAACTAAAACCAGATCAAGTTCAAATGTTAAGTTATGCTCTTTGTTATGCATCTGCTCGTTGTACACGTTCAATATCTATTCCAGCACCTGTAAAATATGCTGATTTATTAACCTTTCGTGCAAATCTCTATATCAATAGAAATGGCCAAATCCATACGTAAGTAGTATTCGTATATTAATTGATATTTCTCTAGTGTTTTATGTTTTATTTTTAGAGAATCAGAGGTTGCAGAACAGACTACTCTAGTGGCTCAAACTGAACATGTCAAAGATGGGATAATGAGTAAACGCATTGTGTTAAGTTCGAAATTAGCACCAGATTCTCCTTTCTTTTTATAACGATAAAGTTTTACCTTTGGCATCTGTTTTTTTAAATAAATTTTTGAATTCATGGAATAGTTCTATGCGTTTTTGCTCAATCAAATGATACGGGTGTAGGTGTGTGTGTCACTGTGGGTGTGGGTTTGGGTTTGGGGTTTCAACACAAAGATACTTTCACCCACGCGCTGGCACCCACACCCCACACCCACAAACATAGCCACACCCTCAGACAGTTAGTAGCAAACGTGAAATGTCACTGATGCAACGATGATTCCAGGAAACAGAAGAAATGCAAATCAAACAAGGAATCATTTTTCAAACACAAATCGTAAAGCAAAGAAATTCCGTATAACATTCACTTGCCGAATAAATCATTACTGAATATTTTTCTTGTGACTTTCATAATAAAACATCGATTACTTATTACCAGAAATATATTTTTTCTCAATCAAATGACTCATGTTATTTTAATGCATGTAGATATTTTTTACAAGGGATCTTTTCTTATATTTTCTTCTATATGGTGTAATGATTGCCTATAGTTACGCACTTCGTCTGAATCATATAAAAGGAGAGAAAAAATCTGGGTTACATCACTTTTCAAGAAAAAACAACACAAACATGAGTACGGTTTCAATCTTTGCATCTTTATTCATATTTTTGCAGTTTGTTCCTTTTTCTTAAAGATTGCACTCTGTGTGGCAGGAACTATTTTAGCCATATATCGATCTAATACAGTTCCTTTAAGATTGTGCCATCATTTTCTCGAACCGCCTATTAGAAAAAAGATGAGTTTTTTTTCTGTTAGATAGTTTCACAACATGAGTACCAATTCGAAACAGAATGAAAGTAACTTGTGAGTTTCAGCTTCTTTTGCAGTGTCATGTCCGAAGGAATGAAAGCAAAGCAATGTAATGAATAGGTAAATTCTGACATTATACTGCTGATAAGAATAAGATCGTGAGGATACAATCAATCTGTTTATATAAAATTTTATGAGTCAAAATGCTTACTCAACTTTTGCTTTCTGTATGTGCTTGTCCACAACGACGATAAGGTATCGACATTTTTTCCCAATGCCGTGCAATTCTAGTCATAGTCTTTGCCCACACCCACACCCCACACCCTATGGGTACCGCCATAGGATAGCCCTGGAGGACCTACGGATACCCCCATAGGATAGGCCTTGGGAGCCAATGGGTACCTCCATAGAATAGCACTTGGAGACCTATGAGTACCCTTATAGGATAGCACTTGGGGACCTATGGGTACACGGATAGAATAGCCCTGGAGGACCTATGGGTACCCCCATAGGATAGCCCTGGAGTACTTATGGGTACCCCCATAGGATAGCCCTTGGGGATCTATAGGTACCCCCATAGGATAGCACTTGGGAACCTATGTGTACCCTCTTAGGATAGTCCTTGAGGACCTATGGATACCCCATAGGATAGCCCTTGAGGATCTATAAGTACCCCATAAAATAGCCCCTGGAAATCTCTCCCTTAGAGTCTTATTTGACCTTTTACCCGGCACAGACAGACACTGAACAATAGTAATATAGATATTCATATACATTGAATGGTAAATACCCTTTCAAAACATAAAACTTTGCTCAATTCTTTGATTTTTTATCAGTGTAATAATAGCGGCGTAAAATCTGTTTCTACATTTTCATGTATATGTTTAATTCAACGTAGCTTATGATATCTATAGATAGCGAACTGTATGAACTATGTACAAGCAATAATAGAAATAAAGCAGCACTTCTTATTGTTTTTAAATAAAATCAGTCTGGATACGTTTTGAACGTTCCTCGTAGACAATTCTATTGAATTAATCATCTCCTAAGACTTGGTGAAGTTTGAGAAGTTTCTGTTTTGTTTATAGGGATTTTCAGATTTATTGTTATGTTTTTTTTTGAGAGTTCTAAGTGTGTCTCTGTTCGGATAGACAAGTCATTGGCATTGATGGATGAGATATGGGTATTTAAAGTAGATAAATGTCCGTGGATGATATGAGTATGAATGGTCAGATTTACATATATAGGTTTCAGTTTAATCACCTAATCATTTGCAAAATTACAAATCATGAGTAAGATACGTAGTGATGGTCCGAATAAGTGAGCTTGACGTATAAATTCTGTAATTCTAGCTCAATTTTTCATCAAGTAAAATAAGTATACTAATTGCTAAGAATACTAAAGTTAATTTAGAATAATTCAATAATTGAAGTTTTCTGTGATCATTCAAATCTGTAGATAGTTAGAATAGGTTTTGGCATTTGACCTTGCCTATTGCTTCTGAGTAAGTCGTGACATAAACACTGATTTACATCAAAAAACATAACGGAAGAATTCTTCTCTCTATCGCGTCGCCATTCATCCAATTTTTTAAGAATTATCACAATTCGACTTGTTTATTTAATAGTACCAATCTCTGACGTTTTCTTAGTATACCGAGGGTGAAGTCATTATTAATTGACGGCCATCATAAACATCATACAATAAGTTGCACTAAATATCTCAGTTAGTGGAGCAGATAAATATTGTCAGTTCGTTAAAATTAGTTTCTTGCTAATTGCATCTGCTAATCGTGCATTATTATAGGCACAATAAACTTTTTTTTCTGATGCATATGACACTCTACGTTCATAGAAGATGTTCTCCACAGAATGTTTTATTTCATGTTGACTTTCTTTTTGTGTCGTACAATCTGTCATGTTTTAAGAAAGTGCAGGAAATTCAATATTTAAGTAGATTTTTACATTTGGGTGTGGGTGTGGATGCCGGTGAGGAAAGACTTTCTCTCCACCTACCCACACCCACACCCCACCCACACCCACACCCACTCCCTTTCAATACTACACTCCATTCGATATATCATTATTGTCGTTGCTTATTTCTATCATTTTTCTCCGAATTATTTATCTGAATAAAGCCTGATGAGCATGTATTTTCTTGGGTGGGTGTGTGTGTAAATGAAGAGAAGTTTAATACCCACACCCAAAATTTTTCCACTATACGCAGACAATTATTACATTGAACATCTGGAAAAATCAGATTGGAGATATTGAAGCACAACATGTTGCTAATGCCTTGAAACGTAATAAGGTAATCTCTCACAACTCTCATTTTTCCTCTATTACATGCAACTTCTTTATAACTAGATGGTCAATACAAGAGATCTCAACAACAATCTAACTGAAGATCTAGGAGTTCAATATCTTATTGAGAGTTTAGAACATAATAATGTAACTTGATCTTGCTTTCTTTTTGGAGTTTTTCATCACTTCCTATGTGTAGACACTCATGATACTTAATCTGTCCAATAATAATACTGGATATCATATAGCTCTGGACACAGTCATCAAAATTCGAAATGATAGAGTAATAATTTCATTCTTTTAGCGTGAGTCATATTATTCATCTTTCTTAGTACAGACACTTACTACAGTGAATATCTCGAACAATCAGTTTGGAGACAACGCTGTACGAATTCTCGCTAATGTTTTAAAATACAATAAAGTACTCCTGTTTGTCTCTTGTCATGTCTTGCTTATTGATTCGTCTATTCTATAAACAAATACTTGTCACGCTGAACATCTCCAAAAATCAGATCGGATATCTTGGAGCACAATATCTATTGGGTGTTTTGCAACCCATCATAGTAACTTTTTATCGCTCATAATCACTTTCATCTTCTCCTTCTGATTTACATGTAGACATTTACTATATTGGATCTCAGCGCTAATCTAATACAAGGCAAAGGAGCAGAAGATCTTGCTAATATTTTCTCTTCGATTGTCTCATTGTAAACTGCATCTATACACACAGGCATTGACAACACTGAAGATCTTCAACAGTCAAATTGGTAATAAAGGAGTAAAAGTTCTCGCTGACGCTCTAAAATATAACAAAGTAGCAGTAATTATTTGTCATTCTTCTCATATACATGTTCTGATCAATTTATAGACACTCATTACATTAGACCTTAGTAGCAATCAAATAGGACCCATGGACTAGAATATCTCTCGAATGCTCTGGAACATAACTCGGTAATCATCTTATCATTTTTCTATATCCATCTCTTTCTTCATCTACAGACACTCACGACACTGTACATCTCGAACAATTATATTGGAGAGAAAGAAGCACAACACTTTGCTAATGCATTACAAAAGAATAATGTAACTTCCTTTACTAGTTTGTCTCTTCTTCATTTCATTTTTTTCTGTACATTCAGACATTTACTGAATTGAGTATATCGAACAATAGAATTGGAAGTATTGGATTGCAATATCTTCGCGCGATCATCTTCTATTTGAACATCTCTCAGATGTCCAATTTTTATTTCATACACAGATTCTGACGATAATCGATCTTATTAGTAATAAAATTGAACTTCAAGCTGCAGAAGTTCTATCTCAAGTCTTAAAATACAATACAGTAATCATTTATCTTTCTTTTTATCTCTCAGATATCAACCGTGCATAGACACTTACCGAACTGTTTATTCGAAATAATCGAATTTGAGTCAATGGAGTAAAACATTTAGCCGATGCTCAAGCAAGTAATATGGTCAGTATTTATCAAAGAGGAACCAGCTAAAATCGGACTTTTTACGAGAATTTTTTTTCTGATTAATATAAAAAAAATTGGCCATTTCTCCTTTGATATTTATCTATATCATCAAATTCTTCGTATGCGTCTTTTCTTCTATATGCAAGACACTAATGATATTGAGTCTTCGATTTAATGTAGTTGGTAATGAAGGAGCATTGCATCTTACTAATGCTTTAATGAGTAACAAGATGACTATCTTTTCTTGTTCTTAATCAATCGTTTATTGGTCTATTTGTTACATAGATATTAAAGACTATTTATTTTGAGTACAAATGATATTTCAAAACCAGTGTGAAATAAATTGACATCAATCCATGGAAATAAAGTGTCGGACTAATTAACATCATTTTCGTTTTTATCATGTTTTTCTATTCAAGAAATATTAATTAATCTCATTTTGAACTTTTGACGATTTTTTATTATGTAAAGTGCGATTTACATGAGACAATATCTATAATCGTGATCCAATTCATTTAATTCGATATCATTTATTCTTTCTATGAGATTCATGAATTATGATAATATTTCAGCGCATCCACACCAACACTATCACCAATACATCTTACGCTCTCACCCATACCCTCATAATAGATTCACAAAGGAACCCTATGGGATCTATCCTACTCTGCTTAGAAACTTACGTATGTTTTTTTCTTCCATTTAAACCGAGATCAAATCATTCAATTTAATATCAATTCAAACATAACTTACAACTAATAATACATGTAAACAGATAAATCAAAAAAAAACATCTTTGCTTTAAACTATGTATTATTTCCTGATTTAACCATGAGCGGCAACTTATTTCAAAATTCTTAGATTCGATCCATTAGTTCTTGTGTTAATCGTATGTAATATGAATCATTTCCTCTTTCATTGAAATTTTTCATGTTTTACTCATTTGACATGACGTATCACGAATCACTGTTCAAGAACTATTCGCCCAAAAGACATCTTAACATTTATTTTTCTAAATTTCTATAGATCATTATAGATTGACTATTTCTAGCGTAATTACCATAACAATAAAATATCAATTCATGATAATGGATTTGCTAATCGAATGTTCCAACAACAAATAACTATAAATCTTCATAATTGAATCTAGTTAGATTTATCTTCTTCTTTCAAATATCTTTAGAGCAGACCAAGCTGACAAAAACTGATCTATTGGAAATATTCTTCCGTATTTGTTAATTTTATTGATTAAAATAAATAAGCGAATTGATCCTATTGTTTTGCTTTCCTCTTATAACATATGACCAATAGGGTGAGAATGTCATTGATATAGAGAGGTACAGCTTTGTAATGGTTGTGTATTAAACAACAGACACGACTGCCAAGCAGTCAATGATTAATGGAATTCACTCATATATATGTATATATATATATAGACAGAGTCATGGCAGTCTGAGCACATTATCTTTTTCATATTATTTGTACATTTTATCTGCCTGCTTGTCAAAACTAATAGAAGCTATTGTGATGGCAACGATACATCATCATTACCATATCAATTTCTCATTCAACGTAAGATTCTTAACCCAAGTTATTTTGCATTGCCTTGTTAGAATTAAAATAACTCGATATTATTAGAATAAAGTCAATTTCAGTAAAATAAGCTGCTATATATATATTGTTTTCTTTGAAAAAACTAGAATTCATTATATAACACTAGTTAATCCAGAAACAGTAATAATAAAACAACATAAACCGAGTTATTCTTTTTGTCATGAGTTTTCCTTGTCAAACTAAAAGATATAAAAACTAACAGCTGGGCAGCTACTAAACAATAATAATTGAGAATCTGTAGTAACAATTATGGCACTCAACTTCTTTCAAAAGAATAATTCACAGCCTAGAGTATATTATTTTAGTTGAGTTTGGGCGCATAGATTTAGTAGATAACCAATTGAAGAAGTAATGTCATTAGTTTATCTTTTTAAAACTAATGTTATTTGAAAATTTTCTTTTATTTCTGTGTCTTTTGATTCTATGATAATCATCATCGCAGATCATAGCGCCCTCTATTACACATAGATCCATCGAGCTGATTCTTTTAATATCAGTATAAGAAAAAAAACGATTTTAGAAATGAAGGTACCAATTGAGACCTAATTTATAAAATTCCAACTATCTCAGAAAAGTACTCTAATTTTTACTATAAAACGTCGAACCAATAGTAATAAAATTCGGATTTATACTGCTCTCAAAAATTTTCATTTCAAATGATACTTTACGATTAATAACAAAAATTGTTGTCTCTTTGCTTTATCGTTCAATTCGTTCCTCTTCTTTAGTCAGAACTAAGCATTCTCCTCCGTATAAAAATATTACCCAACAATAGTAACAACAACTATTTTCTTCTGGTTTTTTAGATGAACAAATTTCTATTCTATTGTTGCTGTTGGTCGAACAAAGAAAAAAAACAACATAGCAATATATACAAAAATTCGATTCGATTTTCAACAACAGTTTCTCAAGAGCCAAAGGTTGAAGAAACAAATATTCGTGAAAGTCGTTTAACTTCTAACGTAAGAATTTTCTATTATAACGTTTTTGTTTGATTGAATTTGTTTTTCCTTTTTTTACAGATGGTCAAGGTAAATGTAAATGAAATCGATTCATCGCCAGTTAAAGTATGTAATATCTATTTACCATGTAAAAAATATTTCATCTTGATATTTTCTTTATTTCAGTATGGAGTACAGGAAAGTGGTGGTTTAATGAATGACCATGTTTCTCGTTCATTTGAATCCACAGCTTCAACAGATGAATCGTCCGATGATAGTGTCCGTTCTGTAAATATTATCGAGCCACACATCATCCGGAGCAACATCGCTTACATTCACTCAATTCGTGTTTCAGATGTTTAAAATTATAATTTTATTAATTCTTTTTTTTGGCTCACAATTCAATGTATGGATCTCTTTTCTCTTATTAAAACTCATATCTATTANAAAGTGGAAAACTTAATCTTAATTTTAAAAATTAAGTGTTAACTTAATACTTAATATTAAGAATTAAGTTTTCACTTAACACTTAATTTTAAGAATTAAGTTTTCACTTAACACTTAATATTAAGAAATTAAGTGTTAAGTGAAAACTTAATTTCTTAATATTAAGTGATAAGTGAAAACTTAATACTTAATATTAAATTAAGATAAAGGGACCACCCCTACCTCAGAGTACAAGTTAGTATTTTACTTTTTTAGTTTCTCGAAAAGATGATTTTAATTCAAGCTTTGTCTGCTGTACGAAATTGTTCGTAGTTCCGTGACAAATCCTATGTTTTTCAATAGTTTTTAACTTCGAAGCCGGTAATCTTTACTATAGCATAGACATGTGGCTGAAATACTTAGAGTTAACCTAAAGCGCTTAGAACGATGTTTAAAGGACCTTGTCGGATAAGGTAACCTATTCTGAAGTGAAAAACCAAATATGCCACGTTGTAGAGCTTTTTGAAACGTGCCGAATGATATATAATAAATCCTGTTTTCATAAGACTTTGAAGAAACTATAATCAATTTACTGATAGACGAATGCACACTCGCATACACACACACCCATACCCACATTGACAAGATGGTTGAAGATGCTACATATATGAGGTTGTAGCCCGTCAAAAGTTTTACAAAATTGTATGTAGGTAAAAATATTTTACAAATACTTTCGACTAATACCAAGAACCACAATATTCAGTAGCAATCATACTTCAGTGTGGATGTGTAGTCGTGTATCAGTAAATTGACTCTAGTTCCTTCAAAGTCTCATGAAGACAAGATTTCCTATATACCATTCGGCACGCCTAAAAAAACTCTACAACAGGGTATATTTATGTTTTCATTTCTGAATGGGTTACCTTATCCGAGAAGGTCCTTTAAACACCGTTCTAAGAACTTTTCGTTAATCCTAAGTGGCAGCATATTGTGTATAGTCTCATGTCACAATAGAAAATGAATAGCGTCATTTAATGGTACTTTGAGAAAAACTTGGTTTTTGTACCGGAGGTTGTTGATTAAAGATCATTATTTGCAGTGCGTTGGAAAGAACAAACTTCAAAGTACTAGAGCATGAGTAAACTATAAAAGAGTGTAGGTGTGTGGGTATGATTGTGAGTATGATGTTTGGGCGTGGGTTTTCTTTCGGACGATATTCACACCCATACCAGCTCGGTCCCTTTCACTCTTCTCATGTATTTTTCATGCTTTCTTTTTATTCTCTCTATATCATTCATCATTTCTCCTACGCATTATCACCCAACCATTACTTTCCATTATACTCTGTGCTTTCCGGTCTATTTTCATCTCACGTTCACATCTTCCTTCTTCCTTTCTCTGCCATCACCTTGCTTCGCACTGCTTTCTTTTTAAAGAAAAATAATCTAAAGAGTCAAGCACGTCTTAGACCTACCATTTCCATCAACCTTTCATTGCTTCGAGACAACAGAGATGTAACGAAAGCTGAGCAAATATAACTCATCACTGAAGAAGCTGTATCAGGTTCGATACGCCCTTTACCTTTCTCTTCCCATATCCAATACTACGCTTTCCCCACCTTGATACAGAAAGTAGGTCGTCACAAAGGTGGTTCTGATAGCATCTGCGAACCAGACTATTACCTTGGATCTACCAATTTCTTTCCATACCAAGTTTCCGAAACTTTCCAGAGCCACATATTTCCGCACATGTTTAGGAAAACTTTCGATTTATCTAAGACTTCTATTTAGCCTGAGGAAAAGGTACTCTCCTTATCATCCATGGCAAACATTCGTAGACACCGACCAAGTCTGTCTTTTCCATTACGATTCGACCAGTATGGTCTTTAAAATATTTTGAACGCAGCATATTTCGATTCATATTTTGGTGTTGCTTTTTGTAGCTCTCGAAACGCTCTGTCTGATGTAAAAAAATTCACTTTCTGATTCTCAGAAACTGGTGATGATAGGTTCTATGATAGGCGCTGCACAATACTCCCACACCCTAAAAATCTGCTGTGTAGAGGCTGATTGGCTTGTCACGAAATAGACAATGAAGTGTTCAGAAAAGTCGGTCATGCTCGTCGAGAGTTATATAGCGTTGAAGGAAGAAGGATTTTTTTCTCAGGTCTAATTGTTTTCTAAAGTACTTTCGAAATAGAGCTGATTTGTAGATTAACCGTCTCCCGTTCTTTCACCCTAACCTCATCCAGGTAGATTTTTCGTTGAATTTTTTTTCTCAAAAATATGTCTGATTTAATACAGTTTTCCTCTGATTCCGAATATGCTGTTTATTTTGCTCTGAAATTGAGCTATAATAATAAAACTCACTAAATACAACTAGAACTTTAGCACTGTTGTATAGTTTCGTCACATAGTGCATCAAGTATGGTCCTTACTAAATATCCGTGCATATATTTTTTTTCTGTTGATTAATTCATTAAAAGATGTAGAATTTCATGCGCTATCAGAATATATAGCTTCCTTCCTATCAACTTATTTCTATAGTTGAAATAACTTTGAAAAAGATAAAAAGAAAAAGAGCGAAAAATGAAATTCGAAGAAATTTGACGATAAATATGTCACTTGTGTGTTTGACATTTTTTTAGCGAATAAATGTAATTCTAGAGGCTTGTAAAAAGAGTTGTAGAGAATTTTATGGGCTATCAGAATATATGACTACTTTTCTAAGCATAACAATTTATAGTAACGATATATTAAAAATATTGAGTGCAATAATTTTTTTTTCTAGACAGATTTTTTTTTAAAGCCAGAATATATATTGAAAAAGTTTTCCATACTAGAATTCAATAACACATAGTTTTGAGAACGAAAATCCACTCATTTTGATGTCCTCTTTTAAATGAGACTATTCTCAAGTTAGTCTACTGTGCTGATCCGACTAACTTGCCTAATCTAAGTGGGTGTGTTTTCTGAAAACGATATATAATGCTAAGCAATAATTATCCAGCGATGAGATACTTTTATTATCAATAAAAGATAGTCCATGGTCGATAGTATTTATGGTAAAAATATCGCTGTTATAACTCTTACTGTTGTTTAGAAAGTAAAATTTACTGAAAAGTGTTGTTCGGAAAAGTACTTCAAATATAGCCTACTCCCTCATATTTGCAACGTCTACATCTTCAGAATGGGTTATCCGTTTGAGCTGAAATTTTGAGTTTCTTCCTAAGTTTTTTAGATCTTTCTACTGTAGAAATATGAACTAAATCGGTAATATTCATTGTACAACATTGATCATGGCTTAGGTGCAATGCCTTCTCTGAGACATTTCTTTTAAAATTTTTTCCATTGGTGAAATGGACGAATTATGGCAATTCCAAAAGAAACTTAAGACAATGCCAAGACGAATTGAATAAGAGCTGAGTAGTAGATATTGATAGAAAACGTTCCCACTCTTCTCTTGTGGATGATAGCCTGTGTCTGTCTCATCCAAATTCTATTGTTGTGTAAAACAAGTTGAAGTTTTCTTGGTTTCTTACCTTAGATTCCTTCTGTAATTAACTACCCAAACAAATGCATTGAAACCAGAATGTTCCAGTGTCATTTGTCATCAAATTAGAGATTGATCGCGCAGCCAAAACTGTTTTGCACGTGCTTACAACTAACATTGCTGCCTATTCTCGCTTTTAACATTGTATTTGGTATCAATTTCAGGCAAACTGAAGTAAACATGCAGCCATACAGAAATAAATCGTATCAGCAAATAAAAGCAAACTGATCAGTACTCTCATTTCATTTTACATGCGATTTGAAAGCATATTGACACAGACATTATTCGATACCTGAGAGTAAGTCGAGCTCTAAATTATCAAAACGAATCTTTCAAAAGACAGTAAGAATTAATGACGTTATAATATTTAAAGAATAATTTTCGGCAGTCAATAGCAGCATTGTGAAGGTGCAAAAATCTTCAAATGGATGAAATATGCTGCATTCAATCAGAGTAACCACTTAGTTACGATCGAAGGCTATGGTTGTGTAGATTCACGTGTAGTGATCTCTATCAGTGTCCATGAAAAGAGCACCATTATACAGCAACAGATACTCACACCCATACACACGCATACCTACATCCACACTCCGCATTGATATAGTTTCTTTATAATTTCTACTTATTGTAGACATTCTTCAAACAAGTATAGCAGAGCCATAGTCATCTGATGAGACACTTTGTTAAGGTTGAAATTTGGATCATGACATTGCTATCCAGGTCAACAACCGGATGTCAGATCGTATCAGATCTTATAAGATCTTATGCATACACGATGTTTATACGATCTTGCCAGAAGATCTGACGATATTGTATGGATTCATTTTTTTTTAAAGATTTTGTCAGATACAATGCGAAAGATGTCATTGGAAGTCCTATAAGATTCTGAGACTAAGAAATGTATAAGAACAAAGTAAGAGACTCTGATGTGATCTTATCCGATCAAATAGAATTCATCAACAAAAGAAACTTCCAGCATTACGTAATCCAAGTCTTGTCTGTTCTTAATTGATCCTGTATGATCTGTCCATAGGTCCACGAAAAAATAAATTTATCCCATTTTACTATTATGTTGTAGAAACTGGTAAGATTTCCATATTCGCTACACTTTAGTCCCATTAGGCCTTTTAGAATATAGCTGTGGGTGCGAGTACAAGTACCGTCGCAGTGAGGCTGCCAGATGGTGCTAAAGGGATTAAAAGGACTATAGGGACTAAAGAAATTTAAAGCGACTAAAGGAACAAATGGATTAAAGGAACTAAAGTGATTAAAAGGACTAAAGGGACCAATGTAACTAATGGGATTAAAAAGACCACAAGAACTAAAGGGACTAAAGGGATAACTTGAAGGGACTAAAAGTAAAACGAGATAAATTTATTTTTTCGTGGGCCCCTCTGATATTAATAATATAGAAAATAATTTTTTTATTCCATTTCTTTCTGTTTTGATAATATAGAGAGTAATATATAATTTTACTTTTATACTACTATATGCATGGAAATATTTTTGTATTTTTCTACAGAGGAAATATATAAAAGATTTTTTTATTTCTAACTTTTTTGAGTGGTACTTTATCGGCTTGAATATGTAGCAAAGACATTCAGATTATCTACAATGAAAAAACCAAAGGTATCATACTTCACGTGCTATGCTTCTCTCTATTTACAATTTTCGTTGTATCGTCTACTGATTCTTTTGGAGAATAAGTTCACTCGATATCATTTTGCCAAAAAACTGTAATTGACAACTAACGCATAAGAAAATACATCTATAATTCTCTCTGTTATGTTTCTAATGATTAAACTTTTGAAATTCAAGATTGATCAATTAGCTGTGACTTATTAATTACTAGAGCTCAAGAGGTCTTTAGCAATCAAATAGGATAAATATGTCACTAATGATCAGTAATGCCACTGTATATAAATTACCTTTTCACAACTTGTGGCACCACTGACTCAGCTGCTTCAGAAAATTCTAATAAGCGCAGAATGTCTATTCACGACCCACTATTGGTACAGCTACTTATTTTGAAGATCATACCTAGGTGTATCAACGTTTTGAGATCTCTTTCTTTAAAGAAGCATATAAAAATTCAAATTGTCTAACGATAAAAGAGTTACTAACAATTTATCTCTACAATATTATTTACCTCCTTCAAATATCCTTTTGAATTCATCTTATTTATACTGTTGATTTGGTGACAAATTATTCTAATGACCTAAGATGAAAACACTGTTAGGCGGATAATTTGTGTGAAAGATCGAAATCACAAACTTCATACTTCGAATAGCAATCTTGTACTGCAACAGTACCCACCGCATTGAAGTCTTTTCTCGAACTCAAAACACATTAGAAGTAATGAATTTGAGCAGGACAAGCTTTCATTTTAGTTTTCAAACACTTGTATAAGCTGCTTGTCGATTGGATTTTCTCATTTTCAATTCTTTTTGACAAATTTTGCAACACTAGCAATACGAATCAGACAAATAACCTATGTTGCTCTAGACGAAACAATTTGCTTGTTGTCTCACGAGTCTCTACTCTATTCTCAAGATTTCTTATAATCAAGAAAGATGACATGGTGACTCTAGTCGATCTCGCTGGATTTAATTTGACTTAGTCGAACTACATCGAATCGAATTGTTGAAAATATAACTCTGTTGAAGCTTCACCTAAAACTATATACTTTGTTTACATAAATATTTTATGATAATGAATAGTGATGAACACAACAACTACGATTCCAACTACAGCTCCAACCACTACTCAGCAACTAGGTAAGCATTAGATTAACTCTTATTGACTTTAGTAGATCCTAATTTTTAATCAAGGATATATAGCTACTTCTTATCAACACCCATATTTTTATTCGAAATATTGAAAATCTGTGTCCTGGAGATCCTCCTCACAGGATTCAGAGATGACCAAGATTATTATTGTCCCTATTGGGCTTTCGTCAATTATACTTTTAAATTCTAATAGGAGAATTCGGACTAGGTTGCAACAAAAATCTCTTGATATCTTAATAGAACTCTTTCTTTTAATTCTGAAAACAATCTGTATTCGAAATCATGATTCATATTTTATTGAGAGTTTCGATAGGATGTTCATTATTCCCCTCAATATTTCAAAAATCCTAGCTCGTGGACGAACTTCTCGAAGAATTCTTAAGGTGCACGTTTTATTTCTCTTCAAAATCCTACTTTTAATGATAGAGAACAGTTCTTTGAAAAACCTGAAAAATTATTGACAGCATTCTCTCGTGTATTACTCTGTTCAGACTGCGTTTTCTATTAAAAAAAAAGATCTTAGCAAGAACTTGAACAAACCTATAAAAAACACGAATTCTCAAGATCTCGCTTAGATCTCTCAGGGAATAAACAAGATTGAGACTAGAGTTAAGTGGTATACATATAGAAACCGAGAGGAAATTCTTTTTTTCTCATAAGAAATCAAAGACGTTTCTGAAGGTACATCTATGAAAAGAACTTTTTCGTGTTCAGAGTATATTTAGGAAGAGAATTTTTGAAAGTTATAGCAAATTTTCTCGCAGAAGAAGAATGCCTCATTTGTAATACTTTAATTGCGACAGAGAGTTCGACCTCTAATAAAGACGATGATGATTTCCTTTTATTTCATCATTTATTATAGTGACTCTTGATATTCCAGTGAACGCTCGATGGGTACAAAACGGGGTAACCGTTGCTGGAGGTAATGTGACCAGCGATCTCACTTTTCAACTCTATCACCCTCACAGTGTTGTCGTTGTCGATGATCAAACGATAATTATCTCTGACCAGTATAATCATCGTATCATCCAATGGAAGATCGACGATATAAATGGACGAGTAGTGGCTGGTAGTCGTGGCCAAGGAACTCGATTGGATCAATTAGATGCACCAACCTACGTGGTGATTGATAGAGAAACGGATAGTCTCATTATTTGTGATCGGTGGAATAAACGAGTCGTACGATGGTCTCGTCGTCGTGGCACAGCTCAAGGTGAAGTCCTCCTTGACATGATCGACTGTTTTGGATTGGTCATGGACGATAAGAGATATCTCTACATTTCTGACGTCAAATACCATGCAGTAAGACGATATCAAATAGGAGAGAAATATGGAATTCTTGTAGCTGGTGGTCATGGTATGGGTAATGGTCTCAATCAATTCAACGAACCAACCTTCATTTTTGTTGATCAACAGCAGGCTGTGTACGTGTCGGACCATCGGAATCATCGTGTGATGAAATGGAATAAAGGTGCAACAGAAGGTATTGTCGTCGCTGGAAGTCACACTGAAGGGGAAGCTTTAACGCAAGTGTGATATCCTAAAGGGCTGTTCGTCGATACGTTGGGTACTGTTTATGTGACCGATTCATTGAATGATCAAGTGATGCGTTGGCCTAAGGGAGCAGAACATGGTACTATCATTGTGGGTGGAAATGGTCGCGGAGAAGCAGCAAATCAGTTCTACGGCCCTAGCGGTGTGGCTTTCGATCGACATGGCAATCTCTATGTCGTCGATGATCATCGAGTTCAACGATTTTCTATCGAATAGACTCGAAGGAGTAATTAGATTCTTTTTCTTTCTCAAATAAATCGTGATTACATGAAAAAAAAAACTAATAGCTATTCTGTTTGCATGTGAATAGAAACCATCCTAGTGAAGCAGTGGCTGCGCAAAGGCCATGCACGTACGGGATACATACGTGTGCACATGGTATGAATATGAGTTTGCGAATGCCAGGTTGTATACTACGGACACCAAAATAGTTCCTGGTCGAGCTTTTTAGGGTCTACTTGAAGAATCTGTAGTGAATGGTGACCTACACGAGATGATTTCGAGTAGGAATAACTAGTCCACTCATCTCTAACAAGATTCCTATCCTAACCCTCGTGCACTATGAGACTGTATCTATTACACAATAAACTAACTGTTGTCATCCCTTCTCTTCTCTATTGTCACTCTCAAAACAAAAACAACGTTCGCTTACCAATCGTTCAGTGGATAAGATGGATAGCTAAAATAAAAAGAACAGTATTTATTTAAAAAAAAAAAAGAAATAGCAGATTATATCAAAAAAAAAATATTTGACTCACTTTATTATTGCTCGAAGTATAAAAATAACAAATAAACAGACAATTTACTAGCATTGAGTGATTAATTGATTCAATCTATAATGAAAAATAAAAAAAGAAACACTTATCGACATTCAACTGTTTGTCGGTGCACCGAATATTAAAAAAGAAACTTAATTAAAAAAAAAATAAAAATTACTTGTAAACTATGCTTATCTAAAAAAATCTAAATAAAATTTTAAAAAAAGTTTAAAACTAAAGAAACGATCAAACAAAAACGACCCAGGTCGATCAAAATGGTATCATTTACGATTCGAAAATGGAGCTTAAATGTTGTTAAAATGGGATCTTTACGGCAGTATACCGGATGTGCGTGTTGATGTAAATAGTTATTCCATCCACATCACTCTCACTTGCATCTATAGACGAAATTATTGGACATAGCTAACCTTCCTCTTCATATTTTTCTGACAGAATGAGATGGAGCGATCCGTAATATTTTGTTTATTATTATTATTACCATCATCTATACATTTGATACGACTAATCTTAAGACGTAGAACAGAGCAGATTTTTTTTTTCTTTGTCTTCCTATGAAATAGTAACGTTATGCGATTGTTTTATTTTATTTTGTTTCGTGAAAAAGATTACACAGTTTGCTTTTTTCTCGGGTGGAAAAAATCGATGTTTGTAGATGAATGTATTCGATTTTTTTCGAAGTGAATTAAAGATACTGATCGAATGTGGACATCTCCTTCAAGAAATGCTCTCATATGAAAAGTATATGCCATTATTAGATTCTATTTTCGCATCACGACAAAGTGATCATATTAAAACTATTAAATGATTATTGAAATGATAGCGAAGATTTGAGCCGAATATTTTGCGATGGATAAATTACAAAGTATCAATATACATGCATGTACGTCATGCGTATCATATTCGTCAGTAATGAGAAGGATAAAAGAAAAAGAGAAAGGTTTCTCTAATTGGTGTTTTTTTTCTTCTACTCAAAATGAATGAGAGAACGAAAACATTAATCAAGACTGCATGAAATTACTCATGTGTTCTGTTTATTTATAATATTAGGATATGTACGTTTCACAAACACAACACATCAACATTCCTCTGACTTGTACAACTGAACTGCAATATGACTGAAAACTCGATTTTATCAACTCAGAAAGCAACCGAAGAGGCAACATTAGATATTTATTCACGAACACGTATGTAGTGGAATTTTCTTTGATTTCAGTTATTTTTTGCTAGTGAATCATCATTTGTAAATATGGTTCGTCATTGGGTTTCTTGATTTTTCCATTAAAAACTACTTACATTATAGATTTTGGAAATAAATTTCACTTTTGTAGAAAATCAAGTTAGCATATGTTCAAACGTTTTGAAATTAATTATTAATCACTGAACAAATTTATAATTACCAAAAAAATGCTTGATTTTTTGTAAAGAAGGTTTTCAATCTGATTTTCTGAAAATATTATTTTCGAATAAATAAAAATTGAAAAATCAATATTACTTTTTGGAAAGTCATTAAACAAGGATGATAGTGAAATCATTCTTTAGTAACATACATAAATAAGTCAATTGAGGGTGTGGAGAATTCGTCTTTTTTTGTTTGGTAGCCGTAGCTAATATACGAGCTAAATAAAGTGCATACTAGTCCGTCGTGTAATTAAAAAAACAAGCAATAGATTATTTTTTATTAGCAATGAAAAATAGTAAATATTTTTTTTTTGCTGAAAGTATTTCTGATATTTTTCATTGTTTAATGTTTTTGAACTATATACTGTCCCTCGTATATTGTCCTTGCGTTCAAAATTGATTTTTTTTGTCTAAAAATTTTTCTTATAACAAAAATATTCATTTTATATAGTTATACTTCCGCTAGAACTGTATATTTAATTAAGTCTGTAAGAAGCAATTTCCTAACAGCTTTGATGTTATTTTTTATATAAAACTAGTCTCGTTTCAATATATGTATAGGAAAATCTTTGTAAGATAATTATGCTTCCTTTTGATATTTGTAAGATATAATGTCTTAAATACTACTTCATTTTTTCTTAATTGTAGATGCGCTTTTGACCTACTGGCCCAGTCAAGACTGCCAGTAAAATCAGTATAGAGATAAAAGAACAAAATATTGTAAAGATGAAAAGTGATAATAAATATGCATTTTAAAAAAAAATGTTCAGAATGCGAAATGGAGTGTGCTATTCTAGAAATGTTTATATGAATACGATCATGACTTTCTAGTTAGAAAATCGAAACTTGACTTTCGCGAAAATGGAAATTTATTGCCGACTTTGTATGGACAATTGTAAAATGTCCCTTTATGCTCTCTTTAACATAGTTTCTATTTTACAATGCGTAATCAACAATGGCAATTATTTTTCAACATGATAAAATAGATATAATCCTTTGGGAAAACGAATCCAATATCACTTGATTTCAAAGCCGACACGTATGGTTAATGTACGCTTACCATACGCCACGATCCGTACGGTGACACACGCTTGGGTTGCTTGTGCACTATAAATTTTAATTATATTCTATTGCGTAAGGAGTTGAGTTAACAAAATGTCAAACATTTTCAAATGTTTATTTATCGTTAAACAAATTCTTAGTTTTAAGAAAATCTTTGATTTTCTGTGAACTAGATTCAATTTAATGATGGGTCGACACATCTTCGACTACAGCAAATTGGTATATCACATTCTAACGAACGAAGGAAAGAAAGAAAAAAAGAATAACATCATGTCATCAATTTTTTTCTGTTCTCTCGGCTATAGGTGAATTGATATTATGTGTTCTTTCATTCTCTCGTGAATAATTTAACTCTTCCTTCATGTAGGACATTATGACGTGGTGTTACTTGATAGTCATTTAGTATAGGGTGATAACTAAACGACTGTAAACGAAAGATGTATTTATTACGCTTGACACCAAAATAACGTAATAAATAAAGTCTTTCATTTTTCTTCGTTGAATATTTCAATGTATATATTCAGAATTTAACAAGAATTTTAGAATTTTAAAGTATACTTTCAACTTTGAAGAAACCTATCAGAATATGTCATATGCTACATGTCATAGTTGTTTCTTTCGTCTTGTTCTCTTACTCAATATACATCATAACGCGTAATGAAAGTCTCACGCACATTACATCTCTTATTATAAGCATTTTCTTTCGTTCTACGGCTTTCTCTTTCGACTATATTCGTCTATATCATGACTTTTTCTTTTCTGTTCTGTCACGATTTATGATGATATGAAAATGAAGGTATAACGCTTCTTACATCTTATATCCCATCACTAATTCAATTGCTATCTTATAAAAAATAAAAGCTACTTTCTAAAAAAAACCATTTGAATGATGATCTCTACAAAGTTATTGTTGAATCTTGAATATAAGACAGTCGATATTTAGAGAGTAGATGAGCTATCTATTGTTTAGTAGGTGCGTGATTCAATCCATTTAGTATGAATGGATACATAATATTCGATTCTTTCTTACTCATAAAAAGATTAATCAAAATAAAAGGTTTTATGACTGTAAAATTAGATTTTATAATGATTTTTTTTCGTGGCAAATTTCACATGAGCTCTTATGTTACATCATTGTACATAATCTTGAGTAACGTATTTCAAGTGATTTTTGCTTGAAAGAAATGCTTTCAAGCAGTTAAAGCTTTTCATTAGTTTTTTTCTCTTTTATTTAAACTGTGAAAGGATATTTTGTTACTTAAACTTCTATTCTCGCATTTTCCTTGTTAGCAATGCTTTTATGAAACATTTTACTCAATATTTATTTATTATCTCCAATTTTCCAACAAAATCCTTCATTCTTCACTTGTCGTTTTCATTCATACCGCTTATTTTGATCTATAAATAGTTTTAAATTCTAGAACGGTTAGCTGACAATATCAACTAGACTTTTCTCATAAAAATAAAGAGCTTTAGTAGATTTTCTTTTCGTTGATGAATGTTCAAATCGCGATATAAAATTTAATTTTCTAGAAATGTTCATATGAATTTTTTGCCGACTTTCTATATTTTTCGAAAATGACATTTTCAAGACATTGGAACCTCGTTTCAGAATTTGTATGAACATTTCTATCATCATCTTTTGTATACTCTATTAGGTATTTTATACTTTACAGTGTGGGTAAATCGTGTGATCAAATGCATACTTACAGTGACAATTTTTGCTCTTTTGCACATCCTTCATTAAGATTTTCAAAGTCATTAAACAATCATGCTGTAAGAGTTTGCATTCTTTTGAAAGCATTTTTATTGAAAATGAAAAGCTTTACAAATCAAACAGGTCGAGTATGATACAACTAGTATGTGATGGTGGTGTTGACGAAGAGAAAACCAAAACGAAAACCCATACTCACGCTCACACTTAACTCACCATAGCTCAAGCAGAAGACTGATTACATATAATACTTAGCATCAACAGATGGAATTCATAATAGAATGTAAATACGGAACATAGGAGTGATCATCGAAATCAAGAGAATAGAGAAAAGTGAAAATTATCGAATGTTCTTCATTGTTATGAATCGTTCGATTGGATTATATTTTTTCACTGCCAAGCACTAACGCTATACGTATGTCCAAAAACAGCTGAATCGTATAGGAAAATATAAAGAGAAAAATGTAAAATTCAATGGTGATTGATAAACCAATTGCCTAATTCAAACAAAGACAAGCATACCAGATCAATTGAGCCTGATCGTAAACATCTGTGCATGTCATAACACGCTTGTAACACGGGGATTTACAAACGGCAAAACCCGACAATTAACTGAAGGATAAAAACGTCCACACCATCATAGTTTCATGTAGAACAGACAGGTTACGATGACAGTAAATCTAGCCTTAAGTACTGATTCCTGGTATTGAAGACAAGCTCTACGCGTCACCGAGTTCTTCAAGATGAAAGAAGCGAAACAAGAGAATAGATGTTGTAATTGACTGAATCGCAGCTGACAGAATTGAACTGTTAAGTTTTTTTCTCTCTTGATAAATATCCACTATTCAGGCATGATACATTAATCGCAATCAGCGAAAATCAAAGCTTCTTCCGTGTGCAAAACATACATTTGTGAAAAAGACAGTTTGTACTTTATGTATTTTCCATTTTTTTTCTATGATGCTCAGCGTTTTTCTGTATTCATCACACTTCTAATCGATTATTCAATTTACTGATTTAATCATAGTGAATCCTTTCGGTTTATCAGCGATTTTGAAAAACAATTTTTCATTACTAGAATCAAGGTTTTATGTCAACTTTTAGGAAATAATCTAAATCAACCGGAAATGTGCGACAAGGAAAAACTCGATATAATGGCAAATCAGTTTGACATTACAGAACGAGAACAAGTAGAAAATGACCACGTCATTGACGTGAAAGAACATAGCAATACAATGAATCAACAGGAAGCGCTCCATCATGACATACATGCATGGCGAAAAAGTGTTTCGACTATCAATCAAAGCAATCCTGACGTGTTCCGACAACTGAGTCAAGGTGAGAAGATTAGAACACTTTTATTTAGACTGAGAGAATTGCTTGCTTTCCGTTCTGATATCTATCGTTTGAGTGAAGAACGCATATTACATGTATATGAATTTACAGATGAATTTTATTAGTGGAATTGAAACAGCTGGTACAAATCAACTGATTTTGTTAAAAATATGTAGATTTACAAACAGGCCGAGAAGCTTTCTTATTTTGTTTTGGTCGAGTCACTATGACTTCACCGTTTCACTGTCCAATTTTAGCATGTCGCGATCGGCTCGTACGAACACCAACAGTCATCGTAAGTTTAAGCTTCTATTTTATTTACTTTTTATTTGAAAAAATATTATGTTCAAGGTGATGGTGGGTTTACCAGCACGTGGCAAAGTGAGATTAATCTGATGTGTTTTTAGAAAAAGAACATATAAATCCTATTATACTTTAGACGTACATGGCTCGGAAATTAGCACGATATCTGCATTGGATCGGAATCAACACGAAAGGTTTGTTTTAAACTTCTTATGGAAAACTAGGAATAATAATAAATTCATAGAAGAAAAGTACGAATCACTTTTGATCGGTTCTATTGATAAAATTCATTGGAGATAGAAACTGAATTGATTCAGAAATCTTTCTCCTTGTCGTTTGTCATGAAACAAGTTTCTCGTATAACGTTCTTTTAAAGCGCATGCTCTCTTATGCATCTCAAATGACTATCATCACGTAATCATTTCAGAGTCTCAAAAAATCTTTCACAAGAGTCTCTATTCATAATGCTTGATATTGTCATCAATAAATGCACATGAATAGAGATAGATCTATTGATGCAAATGACCGTTGAGACCATTGCTGAGAAGTTTTCATTTGAAAATTATTAAATTTCTTTTTTCTCGATGTATGAAGCAGGGAAACTTGTCTGTCAACTTAATTATGAGTTTTCAAATTTAATTTACTATGTTAGATACTTCGGCATCTAATTAAAATATTAATAATACTCTGATAGCTCAGAATGACTAACACAGTAGACATCGTTTTTATCTGTTTCTACAAGCAAATCCTTCTGGAAGAAAAGATTCATATAAGATTAAAACTTGTTTTTTTTGTTTATAGTATTCAATGTTGGCGACTATCGTCGTGAGGCTGTAAAAGTGTATTCAGGTAAGAAATTTTTTGATCCAAACAATGCTGAAGCAGTAGCAATTCGAAAGTATGCATTTGTTCATGTTTGAGACAAGCTTATTTTAAGACATGTCAATTCAATTTATTCTTATAGACAATGTGCCCAGAATGCATTGGAAGATATGTGCAACTTTCTTCAGAACGAAGGTGAAGTAGCCATATTTGATGCAACCAATACAACCTGCGAGCGACGCCGTATAATATACAATTATTGTACGGAAATGTGTTGCTTTCGTGTTTTCTTTGTTGAACCAATTTGTGATTTGCCGGAAATCATTGAAGCGAATATTCGAGTATGAAAGTGAAGCGAATTTCTTTCTAGTTTATAAGAATTCTTTGAACATGGCAGGAAGTGAAACTTAAAAGTCCTGATTACAAAGATGTACCACAAGCGGAAGCCTTCCAAGATTTTCTTTCACGTATTGAACTCTATAAAAAACAGTACGAACCAATTGATGATAAAATAGAAGAAAAGCATTATTCATTTATCAAAATTTATAATTGTGGTGAACGATTTCTAGTTCATAAGATCGGTGGTAAATATAACATGTTGATAAATTGATATTTCATCTTTGTCATGTTCATTTTAGGCAATATTCAAAGTCGTGTCGTTTATTTTCTCATGAATATCCATGTTCTCCCGAGAACTATTTATCTTACTATGGTCAGTTAATAAGTTTTTAAATTGATGAAAACTGACTTATTTCAATAAATTTCAGCATGGTGAAACAGAAATGAATGTTCAACAGCGTATTGGAGGCAATTCCCAATTATCACCAGCTGGCACAACAGTAATAATTGTCATTGTTGTTCGATATTTACCATTAATTATTTATATATGTTTTATTATAGTATACCGAAGTTCTCGCCGAATATATCGCGAATGGTGAGTCTTTCTAGAGTACTGGTTTTGTACTGATGTTTCTGTGAACACAATAGAAAACATCCAGGATTTGATTGTTTGGACAAGTCAAATGCAACAAGCAGTCCATACAGCAGCAAAAATCAATGCTCCTATGGAGCAATGGAAAGCACTCAATGGCATTAATGCTGTAAGAAGGTTTAGCCTACAGTAATCATGAAAAACGAATTTTTTGTGTTTATTTAGGGTATTTTCGAAGGTTTGACCTATCGAGAAGTAGCTGAACGTTATCCTCAAGAGTTTGCTGCTCGCGATCGATCAAAATACTACTATCGATATCCGGGAGGAGAAGTAAGTTGTCATCTTTTTCAGTTTCATGGATATGCATGAGACTTCTATTCTAATGTAGGGATAAATTTGACTTTGTAGCTTTAAAATAAATTATCGAAAACTGTCTATATCGATTCTCGAAAACTCATTGTAACATGTCTTGCATTCTCCTTCGCTCATTTTCCCTCTCAGGTCGAAATCGAAAACAAACTGGTATATCATATGATACTGATTTGTAAATAAAGAAATCTCATCAGACACCATTGACTTCAACTAGAATGTACAAACTGTTATTGTGATGATTCATCGTTTTAGTTACGTTTTGTAGGAGTTAGAAGTTGTCACCAGAGAATATATAGAATAGATCAACTGACTCTTGGTTACTACAAAATATATTAAGCACCTATGTTTAGATAAGACCGAGTTGAATATTGAGTTATTTTAAAAACTTTTGAACTAGAACAGATGTTTCTGTAACTTGATTATTTGATGTTTGAAAAGTTTTTCGGTGCTTTCATCATTAATTTTGGATATTTTTCGCATAGTCGTATCATGATCTTGTTGCTCGACTTGAACCAGTGATAATGGAATTGGAAAGAGCAGAAAATGTACTTGTTATTACTCATCAAGCTGTAATTCGTTGTATTCTTGCTTATTTTGTCGATATAGATCCTGGTATGTAAAAATCATTTTGTTTTATCTAATATCATTACATGACACATGATCTATTTTAATATCGGTTGTGTGTATTTAAACATAGAACGTCTACCTTATATGAAAATACCATTGCATACAGTAATTAAATTGACACCGATGGCTTATGAGTGTATGATGGAATGCATACCACTATCGATTGAAGTTGTATCACAAATCTAATACAAACACTATAATACTTTTGTGTATTTTTCGTTTTCGTTTCTACCTAGAATTGTGAACATAATCGAACAGTTGTAGCGGCACTTAATGAATTTCTTAACGTACGTTCGGAAATCAAGGTGGATTCAACGACAACCAAGGTCTTTTATCAAAATGCTGGTACAGCTTTTGAAACAACTGATGCCAACCGAAATCGCATATCACATATGAATGGGGCGATTGATGATGTTACGTTGAATAATAATCTTTCACCGGAACAAGATAACAATATCCAACAATCACCAACATCTAATTGAAGATATTCATCACCTACTTTTCCATTTTTCACAATATTCATCCAATTATGTAGCTTGTATTTCTCGTTTTATTTCTTCAAATTTTATTATTATTTTCTATCTTAGCTATTTGTGAGGGATATTTCTATTGTAATCTTAACATTTCATACATAATATCATTGAAATCAATTTTAACCCTTTGAGTTCCATCTTTTTTTTGCGAAAATCCAGATTTTTATAAGAAATCTTTAAATATGGTTTTTATTTATTTTTTAAAAGACATTGTATTTCTCTGCCAAGGAACATTAGTAGTTCTTTTTCGTCTGATGATCTTCAAGACAATCGACAATACATCTTGTATCATGTCGAAAACTATGAGATATACAAACAACGAATTTTCAGTGAGGCTGTTTCGATTGCCAAACTCGTAGTGCAAACGAAAAAAAAATGAGCAGTTACACGAAGAGGAGATCCTCTTGCCAACGGTCTTCCAATAGTAGCTGCTCTGTGTAGTCTGTACTATGTGACTTATACGACTCATATGTGGAGCAAAGAAAGAGAATACATGATGATTATAGTGATTATAGATTACTAAGATGATTTGACGACCCTAGCTCGTGATCTAACAGATAAAACGTTTTTCCAAATAATCAAAGAATAAGCTAGTGACATGTTTGTTCAACAACAACATTAAAACGTATTCATATATCGCTGGTATTCTAAGCCAAATAGCGGGACCTATATATACATCGCCGCAACTTAACGTGTTAAACTTGCTCATTGTGTAGAGAATAGTTGATTTACAGAGCTTGCTTCAAAAAGATGCATTTTTCAATACTATCAAAGAAAGAGAGGTCATCACTACACGGAATTAAAAGAAATATTTCAAATATCTGGTTGTTCGAAAAGTCCGTGCAACTCATATTCTATGAAATCGTACGCTGGCAAATGCTGCATTTATCCAATGTAATGACCTTCACTAACAATCACTCGTTACAAGCGATCACGCAAACTGCTTATGCGATGAGAAATATTGAACTAATGCAGTACTTATTATCGTCCTTTTTTTTATAGAATACGAGAGTGTGAGTGTGAGAGATTATGGGCGTGGGTTTGGATATGGGTGTGCTTCAAGACTTGATTTGCATCCACACTACGCCCACACCCACTCGCTGGAAGAAACGGAGTAATAATTTCACTTTTCGCACACAGCTCTCTACTCTCTCGACGAAAGGTTCGATGAGCAGTAGCGCGCGAGACATTAATCTAACATTCCCGGTGGAGTTTAGTGTTCGCCATTATTTACTTTCGTTACTTGGTTGAATTTACTTTTTATACGTGATGTTTAAACGTCCCCTTTGTCATCCCTTCTTATCAGATACTTTTATTATTTCTCTCTACGGTAACTATGCATCATGAATCATCTTGTTCTACTTGATTCTTTTCTCCTTCTATCGTTATCTGTCCTTTTTCTAATATGTCTTGGTTACGTATATAAACGGGTGCTTTTGATATAAACAATGGGACTAAAGATATGGCGAAGCTAAATAAAATGTAACTCTATCAGTGCTAGCGACTCTTCTATCTAAAAATCGTCACATTTAACGACCCTGACACTCTACCTTACTCTTTCATTGACGAAGTTTTTTTCTTCTGATCTCCTCTCTATTCTCATCTATTACAATGACTGAACTTAACGTTTCAAATCCTGATTATTCAAACGTTCTCTGCTTCAATTGCGTATATATGCATCAATATGGGGTGTGGCTGTGGTTGTGAATCAGGAACATAGCCAGAAATTGTCTAATGGAGTGCTGACCAGTGGAGAAAATATTTAACCATGCGAATAGTTTTTAAACCTATACTCCCCTTCAGACATTGTTTCTCTAAGAGGAGTGCTCGGGCACCCTGGGCATCCGCCTGACTACACCCCTACTGTGACTGTGTGAATAAAATGGTTGGGTCAATATGCTAGCATTATGTTCATATACACCTATATTCACACCCTTGCACAATCACACCCACACCTTGATAGTTTTCATGTTCATTGATGAAGAGCAACACTTTAATTAAGCAAATGGAGTAGATTTTGTTTTTAATGAAAATCATGCAATGAAATTAATGAAAATGTCTGTCTTAATCAACGAATTTCAAATACACTCAGATTTTTGTTCATTTCATCATTTTAATGCCATTTTAAAAATTTTTTAGCTCCATGGGTTTTGTTCTTATAAAATTTAAGATCTCTACAGTGATGGCATTTTTTTCTTTTAGATATTATAACTAAATGCAGAATCTTCTACAATTTTATGCTGAATATTATTCTCATACTATCGAAGATACTTTTCATTCAAATGCACTAGATACACCGATTGAAAATGATAGTTTTGGACTGTCTTCATCCACTTCAATGAGTACAAATCAAACATCGGCAATATCTCTACCACCATCATCAGGTATGGCTCGATCAAACAAACGTAAAGCAACGACTGATACTGATGTAAGTTATTTGCCGGCATCAATTTATAATGATAACGGTAATTATTCTGGTGTATCATATTCCACACTTCCTCAGCAATCAACTGATTTTTCTAGACCATCATCACCTAGTAGACATGATAAAATAACAACAACATCAGTTTTGACTGCATTAGATAAAGAAAGAAGCTCGAATGATATTGATGAGGATGACGATACCAATGATCTTGCACATAAACGTAAAAAACATACACAAGTTGAAGCTAATCGACGAGCATTAGAAAAAGCATGTTTTAGAGAATTATTAATGTTAATTACAAATCGAAGTGATTCAAAATCAACAAAATTTCGTCATCTTGATTTACTTGCAATAGCTCATGATGAAATATCTAAAATGAATTTACGGCATAAAAATAACCGACTACGTCCATCAAATTTAACTAATAATGAATTAAAATTTTTAACAATTGAGGCAAGTAATTCGTTTTTATTTGTAACTACTATTGAGCCAACATCATTTCGTATAATTTACGTCACTGATGCAATAAGTCGTATATTTAATGTTACACCTGATCAATGGCTTGAACAAAATTTTCTGTCATTTTTACATCCTGTGGATTTCATACGTTTTGAAAGTCAACTTATGTCATTAAGTCAACATACTGGGATGTCGATTCATCTCGAATGCCGATTAAAACAAGGTAATAATGATATATATTCACCTGTTATTATTGATGGTATGACGAAAATAATTGATGATTCATTAAAACCTGTGCAAACAAATATATCAGGTTTTCTTGCATTTGTTGGTATATGTCATTTACCATTAATAACAAAATACAAGGAAATAAATATGTGTCGTTATAAAAATCCTCAATCATGTACATTTCGTTGTCGTTGTTCACCAAATGATTGGAAAATTTTTCTTGTCGATCGTTCAGTATCAACATTACGATCCATATCATATGATTTATTTCTTCAAAAATCTATATTAGATTTTATATATGCCAATGAACAAGCACTTGTACATCAAGCTTTATTAAATTCAATAAAAGCATCAACAAATAAAACAATAAAATGTGATTTTATACATCCAACTTGGCAAACCTCAATACCAATGACACTTGAAATCAAATCATTTTGTAATACAATTACTTGTCAAGCTGATTTTATCGAATTAACATTTGAAAGTTTATTTGGTTTTATAGATGAAGCACAAGAAATCGATAAATTATCGGAATCAGATCCATCGCTATCAACTCAACAAACAATTGAAGAACAACTTGATAATAATCCGACAACTCAAACTACATATTATTATTCAAATGGATGGACAACACCAAATAAACTAATTTAAAATTACAAAAAAATCCAAGACACTTCAATGTTCCATTTTATGTTGTTTACTATCGAACTTTCTCATTTTATCGGCAGTTTCCTATTATATATTGAATAATAAAAATTTCGAACTATACATTCTAAATAAAGTACAAAAAAGAACTTTTTGTTTTCTGTTATCCTAGCTCCTATCTTTAAAAATAAACGAGATAAATACAATAAATGAAAAGAATACCAAATCTACTGTGTTATATCGTAATGCGTTAGCTAATGAAATTATTCTTTTAAATATGATTAAATTGGCTAAAAGATCTGATGAAATGCATATCTATTTCCGATGAGACAAAAAAAAAGGAATATTATAGAAATGAATAAAGCATTATTTTAATTACCATTGAGAAAGATGCTTTTAGTCAAATATTTATAAGATGAATTATGACTGTTTTAATTATTTTAGAGAAATGAAGTAAGTAAGATTTTACAGATTTTTTCGGTTATATATATTTTAGAATTTTGTTTTAAAGAAATATATGTGCTTTTATACTGCGAAAAAGTTCTTTTTCCAATATTTGAAATAGAGGTTGAACGCAGCAATATAACAATGAATTTTATCAATGCAAAATATTACATGAAAAGTTAAAATTGTACTGATAATTTTCTATTTAGCGTATCTTTAAAACCTGCTGATATCAGCCAATAGAACTCAAAATAGAATGCACCGGCCTCATCCTATCGTTTCCCGAACTCTTCCGGTCATGATTGCTTTGATTTTTACTTTAACCTATAATGATAATTATCTAAATATTTGAGTATAGATGATCTGTAAAATAAAAATTATAATAACCGTGAATGTTTGTCTCTACGAAAAAAAAGACATTCTAGTGGGAAGCAACAAGCACAGAGCAGAACGGCTTTTTTTTAGACATATCTGTAATACTTAACACATCGTTAGGAATCATAACAAAGTGACTATTAAATCTAATGCTTTTAAAGAAATCTTTTTTTTTTCATTTAATCAATTTTATGTAAAAAAGATAATTGTATTTTATGTTATTATATCCGATGGATCGACTTTGTATAATATGTATTTCAAAGCTTGAACTTTTAGAACAACCAGTTTGTTCATGTTTAAATAGATAATAAAGTTTACAGGAAGCTAATTTCTTTATTAATTTTAGAACAAGAAAAGTAACAGTTGAAATGGCAATTTGAAGTGTGTGAACAAAATTATTAAAACAAATTTTATCTGAAATATTGAATTGGTCTTTTCCCAACATGTTTTAATTCTTGTTGAGAAACCCTAAAATACAATTTTTCATTAGGATACTTTTTAGTCTCTCAAAGTCTCCTACATTTTTAGATATTTTTATAATGAATAGTGACGAGAAGTCGTTTTATTCTCATATTGTTCATCGTAACATACATGAGGATGGTGTATCAATCTTATTAATGTGAAATATATGCATGAGTGATACACAGAAAGACAAAATCTATTCTAGTTGATCTAATAGATTGAGAAGAAGATAATGAACGATGGTGTTAGAAGTCATATTTCAAAATAAAAAGAGAAGCTTATTTGATATCGATGATAGGTGTCCATAATTACATTAATATGGGTACAAATATTTCGCATCGAAAATATAAATATTTAGTAAATAAGCTCTACTGATAATGCATAAAGTGATAGAGACGTTTTGTTAATCATCAAGATTTTATTTTTCACACGTATCTTCGTTAAATATATTTGCTTTGAATATTGTTTCTTAATGTTCGAATGAATAATTGGTTGTCTTGTATGATAAGTTTCTCTTGATTGTGCAATAACTTGCTTATGAATTGAAGTGTAAACATCTATGATGAAAATAAGACAAGATGATGGTTTTTATGGCAATAAATGCCGAGTTTACCATTCATTTTGTTAAAATTTAAATTTGATAAATCATTTTGAAGCTTTTCTCAGAATTTGTGTAGTATTTTTCATTCGAAAACAATAATCAATTCTAGTCTATGAAATTTCGAAATTAGTACAAATTGAACTTTTTTCAAGCACAGGACCTGATCGAATAATATCACCTTTTTTAATATGAAATAGGGCAATGTAGATTATCAAAGTTACTTTTAAATGAGATGGAAAGCAGTGTCACTAAAGCTTGATGAGTTTTTACTTTTTTCTATTAGAAGATTTATTCTAGAGCGTAGCTTCTAAAAAGAGATACTTTTCGAATAATATACGACTACTTAATGATTAAGTAGCTGATTGTTTTTTAACAACTTTTCGTTTATAGCAGTAACATAGCTACCTAAAAGATTCAATAGCTATTTAAGAAAATAATACAGCTACTAAATGATTTAAATTGCGAACTTCTTTATAACAATTTTTTGTTCATTGCACTAGCGCATATAACCAGTTAGTAAAAAGTTAGTGCTATTTAAAACGATTTATACAGCAATTATATGATTTAAGTAGCTAATTCATTTAAAAAAAAATGTTGTATTGTACTTCTTCAAGAGCCTAGCTACTAAACTTCTATCGTTATTTAAGAATTATCGTAACTATTGAAGTATTTTTCATAGATATTTAAATGAATTAAATAATTAACTAAAAACATGTAAATAGCTATTCAATGATTGAAATTGTTGCAACTATTGTATTCGTATTTGGTTTATTGCTCTGCATTACGTTAAAAGCAGTTGAAATGTAACTTTTTAAAATACTATCGTATTTATTCTTAAAGTGTCAAAATTATTCAAGAAAAGTAAACTCAGATTTTAAATAATTTAAATAACTAAATCTGGCTGTCTGTCATTTGCAGCTGATAATTTGAACTATTTAGTTTGATCATACAATCATTCATTCTACGCGAATATAAAAATCTACTTAGCACACAACGTATATCTTTCGACTGTGAGTCATATTGCAAACTATGCATAGTTTTTAAGAATACTCATAGATTGAAGAGTAGCTCATTGAGTAATTTTCTTTTTTTTGCCCTTGTTCGAAACAATAGATTTGAATATTTGTTCAGTGGCGTTGAAAATTTTTAAATATTGCTTAGGATCAAGTAGCGCAACAGCTTCAAATATACAAAAATTAATAAATGGCTACCGATAAATATTAAATAGATATGTATATATATATTAAGTAGCACTGCAAATTGATTAAGTAGTGCTGGCGCTTAAGTAGTTAGGCAGTCAGAAATATAGAGAATCAATAAATAGTTAAATATTTATGAAAATGAACAATATCTATACAAAAATTGTATCTCCTTTGAGCATTAACTATTCTAGAGAACAATGTATATTTTCTCAACAAACATTGATTAGAAGTACAATGTAATACTGATCATGAATAATCTTGAATGAAGTACGTGATAAAACGTTTGTTGGTTTGTTTACTTAGGTAATAGACCGAAAGACAGAACAAGAACAAGTCATTTAATTGTATTAGAAATAGAAACATCCAATGTATTTGAAAAAAATAATAACAACAATCAATACAGATTGCAATGTAGATCGATCACTGATATCAGTGAGTGAGAAGAAAGATATGATTAAAATTATAACATTTTTTTATTCTCAAATGAGTGTACTCAAAATTTTTATGAACTTCTCAAACATATATGATTCAACTGGCGCTGTTTGAAAAAAGTCTTGAAACCCTTTATTATTGGCAACGATATGTGTTTTACGTTTGCTTCTTCTCGAATTTCAAATTGTGCTTCTCTTCCTTTCATTTCATGCTTCTAAAAGAAATTAATTTATTTAGATTCTCTAGATAAAGAGAATATTAGACTGCATATAGACAAAATAGAGCAAGCTGGTCATAGGTTGAATGTATATTGTCTTTTCAGAGTTTCATCTTGAGGAAAACATTTTCAGCTTAGTGAGCCTTATTAGAATATACGTGAAGCTTGAGGGTAGAATTGTTTTTACGTTAGCAGATTGAAATCAAACTGTTTCGTGAGATTGGACATTCAATAGAAACTACGAGTCGAAATTTTGCATACTTCTACATATCTAGCCAAGCCAAAAGCTCAACCATGAAAGTTTTGAATCAATATGCATTTTAGCATATGTTAGGAAGCAAGTAATTTATGTTCTTTCAAACATTTTCAGTGGCAACGAGACGATTCATGTCTTCCATTAAGTCATTTTTCTTGAGCTGACTTGAAAGAATTCAACCAATTAAGTTTTATACATATTTGCCTTTATATCGTATTAGTCAGAATGTATTTTATGCAGAAGCGGAGTGAGAGGGTGTATGATTGCGTAATTTTCCCATAAACATCGGCAATTCGAGTATATATAAGTATCCTGAGATCATTTTCATTTTTAAACGAATTTTACAGAGACCACACCTGGGATCTTCTGAAAACTTTAAAGAGTTCTGCATCTATAATCAGTAAGTAGGATATCTCACACTCTGTTTGTTGAATTGAGATAACATATTGATTATATTCGATAGAAGAACAACAATCTGTTTTATTTGAACACATGCTATCATCATCTAAAAAGAAACTGAGATGTGACGGTTGTCAAGATTGGTATGTTGATGGTGATTGGAAGCGTCGTCATAACCATTCAATTTTCATGCGATCAAAGATCAGCTTACCTCGAGAAAACCTTTGGTTCGAAATAAATACCTACAGTGAACACACGAATGATGGTGCTGATTGCATTGGTCGTGTATCAGATGATCATCATGTTGTTGATTATCGCCGTTATGTTGATGACTTTTCATTTTTCATAAGATCTTCAATCAGCTAATAAAATGGTAAACTTGACATTGAAGTGAGCAAAGAAAGTGAACACAAACTGATGGTCCTCCTTTTGAGTGTCCATTTATCGTGTGATCTTCGATCAGCTGGCTGACACTAATCATTATTTTGAAGGGATGAAATTAACTGAATAGACAATAGGTTTTGCTATTCAGTAGTCATTTTTCATGTCATCCTCCATCATACTACCAATTCGAAACCTTTACTTTGAAGTGAACAAAATAGTTTAATAGTAACTTGGTGGTCTTCATGACAAATATTTATGTGTTGTGTGATCTTTTATCAATCGACTAACTTACAATCAGCGCTTTGAAATAAAGACAATAGGTGATAAAAGCTTTGATAAGTCATATTTAGTTTTCATGTGATTTTTGGTTACTAGACCAACTCACTACTTTTATCTCGACATCAGGAAAATATATGAAAAAGTCTATTTTACCGCTGATGTTCCTCTATGCCAATGGAAATAAAGCAGCAAAAAAGAACTAACTTTATCGACTTTTTCGTTTTTTGACATAGACCACAGATTGTGTGGGTGTGTTTACATAGGTGAAATGAATGATTCAAGCAAGTCATGCGACGCGCTTCGATCTTTACTAGAAATCATCATCAGGTATGTTTAGAATCATTATGACTACATTGATTACTAAATATACCTTTGAACTATGTTTATGTTGTTGGTTTTTATTATGAACTTTCATATTTACCATATTAAGGTATTTCCCAAATCAATTTAGTTATAATGATACTAAATATATTGGATAATGATCTCTAGCAAAGATCGAAACATGTCGTATGACTTGCTGGAATCATTTCATCTCTGCAAACACAACCATGATACGTATGTCGTGTCGGCCGATCAGGACTGCGAATCAAATTGCAAGAGATTAAAAACATCATTCCATAGAACAAAATGTTTTTTTCTTATTACATTCGATCCGATTGAACAATTCATCTAGTAAAAAGACTATTTCTAACGCATTGGATTGACTTTCTTGATTTCATTATTCAATAATGTCATTTCTACCTATCTGTTTCCAGTTAGATTAGTTTATTTGCCATTCAGTTTTTTATTCTACTCACGTAAGTCCTACTCTTTTCTTCAAGAGCAAAAACTCGAATACAAGCATTTTTATACCCATGAATCATCAGCTTCTTATGAGTTCAGTTCGTTTCTCTGGATTGAAAAGAATCACTGAAGAGCCTTGCATATTGTCGTGCGATTCAGTGAATTCATTCAAATATTTATACTCCAATGATTTCTACAATCGTTCGGATTAAGAAGATGTATCAAAATTTGACATCCATTCATTAATTTTCTTTAAACTAAATTTGCTACACAATTGAAGTAGAAATTGATTTGAAGTAGAAGTGATAAAAATACTTAATGGTCATGCCTTTTTATTCATACAATCAGTGGTTAGGATAGCCAAAAAAAAATTGAAATTGAAATTAGATTGAAACAAACAGAACATCAGAAAAGGAGTTTTCATTTTGATAATTTAAATTTTTGTAAAAAGATAAAATATGCTTCATGAAAAAACAATAAAAAGCAAACCTGTTTATATTAAACAAGAAGATGAATAACAAGAATGTAATCAACTGTTATATCAATGTTTCTATAAAACATTTTGAGTTTATATTTCATGAAAAAAGAATCGAGATTTTTCAATGAGAAGGAAATATAAAAGTTGTGTGAAACGACAATTTGGGTATGAGTGTATGATTGTTAGTGCAGAGAAGATATCCGATTTTACCCACAACTCACACTCTCAAGAGCACTGTGCCTACCCGCTCCCTCAAAATGCATTGTATTTCGCCAGGCTCGGCCCAGTTCAATCGATATTTTGAGGGATTAGGTCGAGTTTTGTTCGATTTAGTCCCATTTAATCTTTGAAAAGTCAGTCCGAGCTCGACTCGATTGCGGGCTATAACGGATTGGATAATTTTTAAAATTTCTCGCAAAAGTCCAGCATCAATTACTCTATGATCGTTTTATGCATTTATATATCTAAAAAAGTCGTAATATTGACTGAAAGCTTTCGGAAAACCTTCAATCGAAATGTATTAGCATAAAAACAGCACTAGATTAAATGTTCGAATCCATCTAGCGTTACCAATCCGTCTGTGTTTTTCGTTTTACTGACAAGTCTGAACAGTATGAATAGACGAAACAGACTAGTCATGACATGTTTTGGGTACATTCTGGGCTGATCTATGTTTAGTTACACTGCATTCTTCGTCAAGACGACCAGTCCTGATGACCTCCAGATCATCTTAGACTAGATCAGACGGTAGTGCGAACATTTGAGACTAGTCAAGTTGGGCGTTCTCTTCTATTTTTTGCTCATCTCGATTTATATGTGTAAAGTCATTTATATCGTTTTGTAGAGCAGCTCGGAGCGCATCAAATGGTAAGTATATATCTATAACTCAACGTACGCAATGTTCTTTCTAAAATTAATTTTTATAGAATCTTTGTTGCTCTTGAGTCGTGAATTTTTGATAGCTCGCACTACTACTTTCTTTGTACCCAACATTAACTACTTCAGTCATCTACCTTAAACTTTTTGTTTTGCAAAGCTTCATTGTACATGATGCCGTGTCTCAGATTACTGTGAAACCAACACACAACTTTTCTAGAAACTGTGAATAATTTAGTGATAGCACTTTTGAACTCTGCTAGTTTTTCGAATTGGAGCGAAATATACTGGCAGTGCTGAACAGTGTCTTTTTATGGTTAGTTAAGAGACAGTTGCAATGAAGCAATGCCAAAATCTTGAATGCTTCAAAGATTTTTTTCTCTTAAACGACATACGGTGGCGAATACGAATATCTCGTCATTCAACAGTTCCGTTGTTGTTACAATCAACGAAGAAACCAAGTTCGCTTACGAATAGATGACGGTAAACTGTTCGAATCATTATATTGTTTAGAAAGGAGCCTCTTATTGTATCTGTAGCACGAAACAAAAAATCTCTTTGAAACATTTCGGGTGTGAGTGTGAATGTGGATCTGTTTTTCAAATCGATGCCTGCACTCGTCCTTCTGCACATCCTCACTCATACGTACACACCACACTCTTTTTGGAAATCTCTTGAAGTCCAGTGAAGTCCTATGAAGTCTCGAATTCATTAAGTCGCCTACTATTTTTCTCTTTTCATTCAACATATTTGGATGACTTATGAGAAGATTTAAAAGGAGCACGAGTTAAAACTTTTTGTTAAAATATACTCAAAACTCTATTCTGGTTGTTGATGAATTACAAACTTATTTTGATATATACGATTTATATTCATATATTGCATCTTTCTGTCGTCAAAACTGGTTAGTTATACTTTCATAAAAATACAAAGACTGGTTAGTGATCGAAGTGATCAATGTACCAATAATATGATATGTAGGGTGTCCCAAAAGTCATGATTGCTTTACCAATGCACATAATGCCACTACTGAGCAAATTTAATCAAAAACGTTTTTTCATTTAAAAGAGGGGACTAATAAATTTTTATTCTTAAAGACCAAGTTCATCAACACTAGTGAATTTAGCAATTTTTCCTACAATATAAAAAGTAGGCTTTTCTTTGATGCTAAAAACGATATGCCCTGTTGTTTTCGAAACTTTGCTTGAATTTCTATTTCTATTATGACCGTTACATCATTCAGATTGTTTACCTTGACTTTATAGACACTAATTCTAATGAAAAAAATGAGACTGGCCAATTTTAATGACAGATGTGTTATATAAAATGGCCTAATGTGCTTTTTTTCCCACAATTATTCAAGTTTTTGAGGAGCCACGAACAATTTGCTTTGACAAAAAGCACTAATTATTCGATCTTTTTAAAATATCTCAAACTAATAACTGAAAAGCAATAACAATTGATCCGAATGACCTCATGATGATAATGACGATAGAAATTCTAGTCAAATTTCGAAAACAACAATGCATATCGTTTCTAGCACCGAAGAAAAGCCTAATTTTTATATTGTAGAAAAAAATTGCTAACTTTTCTACAGTGTTGATGAACTTGGTCTTGAAGAATATCAACTTATTAGTCTCCTTGTTCAAAGGAAAAAAAAAGGTTTTTGATTAGGTTCGTTCAGTAGTGGAGCTATAGGCATTTGTTAAGTTATCACGATTTTCGAACCTCCTGGATACAGATTGAGTGGTGTATCAAAAACAAATATATGAACAATGCAAGATCTTCTCGAATATACTTTAAGGAACAAAAGAAAATATCACGATACATAAACATTGATTTCTTTTGAGAATTGCATAATGCTTTCCTCAGAAAAAAATATTATGCACTTTTTCGTCAATAAATAAAACTATAAGTCATTATAGTTTTTATCTTTCTCTAGGAAAATCCCCAATTTCAAAACGCTTACTACTAATTGTAATAGTTGTTTTTTGACACTAAATATCATTACTGCAAGACTTTTTTATTTTATCATCAATTACATTAAGATCACTTCTGTCAAAAGATAGTTGAAGACGTGATTGTGGGTGAAGACCTTTTGAACTCGCAGATTCACCTTTACTGTCGACCATTGCTACCGTACTGGCAATATCTTCCACTATCAAAACTAATATCAATTCTACAGGGTGTTTCAGAAATAACCTACCAAAAGTTTTTTCGTTTCATTTCACTATTGACTAGACTTCATCGATTAATTTTTTTATTGTATAATAAATAAATATACCGAGCTTTTATTTATGCAGACAAACTTCAAAACCACTATTAAAAGCTAAGACCTTTAACCGAAATACTAAAATTTAGCTTGCTTTCTATTTCCGGAAAAATCCATGGATTATGTCTGTTTTAATTGCTTGAGTTTTGATTTGATACCATAACATTCGTTTTTGTGAAGACATCAAAATAAAATTCTATGAAAAGACTGTTCAAGAATTGGACGATTTAAACCTTCGAATCATTCAATAATTAAAGATAATTAACAAAAGAAGTGCTCCGTAACATTCATCAGGAAACAGAAAACAGACTAAATTTTGGTATTTCGGTTAAAGGTCTTAGCTTTCAACAGTGGTGTTGAAGTTTGTCTGTAGAAATAAAAACTCGGTGTATTTACCTATTATAAAAAAAATTAGTCGATGAAGTCCAGTGAATAGTGAAATGAAATGAAAAAACTTTTGGTAGGTTATTTCTGGGACACCCTGTATACTATTCAAATATCCCTCCGTCATTGCAGTAATTACTTCGCAGAATGTTCAGTAGGAACTAATACTGGTTCATCAAATAGATTGTCGTTAAGCATTGATAATTGAAATTAAAACTCCAATTATATAAGTTTAATAAGTTGGGTACACTTGAAATAGAAATCATAGATGGGCGCGGTTTAGATTTTTCAAAACTCAGATCGAATCGAAATGGAAACCGAGGTCGGTTTTCTAAGTTACAAGCCGTACCCTGGTCATCGCTGACAGTAATACAAGTTATAGCCAACTATTTTCAACTTATTCAGATTTCCCAAGAAGGTTTTACTATCGATATTACATAGAGATACGAAATAAAAGAGATCTAGCAGGATGTCGATGCCAATGCGAACTTAAAAGCTTGTGGATCGGTGAGTGTTGGTGTGGGTATCAGTTTTCCATGGTCCATGCTCAAATCCGCACTCTATCCTAGTTTGCCATTACGATGCTCTTATTCTTTGATTCTATGTTGGTATTCATCTAAAAATAGCAGCAGAAGTGAGTGAGGATGAGTGATAGAGAAAATTCTCTACAATCGGTTTTGTTCTAATTTACAGGGCTCAGAAGGCGACTTCATCTTACCATCTATTGTTTCATTATTCACAAGGAAATGTTTGACTTCGTTGTCAAGATTTCCTTTCATACTTTGTGTTGGTGTGAGTGGGTCTTACGAAGTAACCACCCGAGGTGTCAAAAAGCTTTTGAGCTGAAATTTTGCCCACAAGTAGGGGATGCATAGACTAGAAAAAGCCTAAAAGGATATGGGTACAAGTTGGGATTTGACTGAGATATCGACTATTTACCATAATTTTCCTATATGATCCTACTTGTCCGATAAAATCAAAGTTTTGAATTTAGGCCTAAAACTGTGTCCACATCAAGGCCCCAATCAGACAAGCTTGCCTACAAAGTTTTAGAAATCTTGGATAGACTATCTCCGAGATACTATTATGTTAGCATAAAGACCTTTTTTATGCATATAATGTTTCACATAGATATGTTGGCAGATTCATATCTCGGAGATAGTCTATCCAAGATTTCTGAAACTTTGTAGGCAAGCTTGTCTGATTGGGACCTTGGTGTGGACAAAGTTTCAGGTCTAAATTCAAAACTTTGATTTTATCGGACAAGTAGGATCATATAGGAAAATTATGGTAAATAGTCGATATCTCAGTCAAATCCCCACTTGAGCCCATATCCTTTTAGGCTTTTCCTAGTCTATGCATCCTCTACTTGTGGGCAAAATTTCAGCTCAAAAGCTTTTTTGACACCTCGGGTGGTTCCCTCGTTAGCTCAACCTGCAACCAAACACTTATCCACACCCACATTCACAATCTCAATTGGTCCATCCCTATCGTCAGTGATCATCAATGGACTCCAGGTTCTCTAAGATATTCTTATATATATTTTATTTAACTCTAAAAATTGAGCTAAATCACAGCCCGTCAATCAGAATATTGAAAAACATTATAAAAATCGATGGTTAAATGTTTTATTTTTGTTTGTTACCCTTCAAGAAATTGTGCGATAAATTAGAGCCATTTCGGATCGAATACAATCGGAAAAAAATGACCTTGAACTGGTTGACCACGTGGAATGACAGGAACACCGAGTAGTAGGGGCTTGTCAGTGTTACTTCGCGTTCCTTCGACAAAGTAGTTGAGTACAGCAGAACGTCGAGGTGATGCTGTGTGATTGCCATAGGAGCCATGCACCATGAGTGCATGATGAAATGAGGCGTGACCTTTTTTCAACAAACCTGGTACTGGTTTAAATTGTTGTTTTTCCTCGTCAGTTAATATGTTCTTGATACTGTCCATGTCTTTGAAATCAAAGTCAGTCACTGGTAATGGAACTTCTTGACCGTCACGCTCACGATGCCAGTGATGTGAACCAGGCACAAACTGAATCGTGCCGTTTTCTTCTGTTTGATCGTCCAAAGCAATGTGCACAGTGAGATGTTGCATCGGTACCGTTCGTGTCCAATAAGAATAATCTTGATGCCAAGCCACAGAACCACCGTGAAAAGGTGGCTTGGCAAACAATTGATCGGGCCAAAACCGAACGGGAACAACCGTTTGTTCGGACGTATGATAAGCGGCAAGGAGTTGTGACGTCGGTACGGTGACGTTCGGCAAGAAAATCAAGTCATGGAAAAGCGGCGTTATTCTCCAGTGACCTAACATATGCGTGAGAACGTTCTCAGGATCTTCGGTTTGATTCGAATGATATTCATGAAGGAGATGCCGGCCAGGAAGATCGAGTCGATCAGCATCATTTCGAGCATTTGCCTGTGAGAGATCTTTCTCGTTCCAAAAAAGAAAACGTTTGTATTCTTCAAGAAGTCGATCGCATTGTTCATCAGTGAGAACACGAATTTGAGGTAAATAGCCGTTCGTCTTGTAGAATTCGATTTGTTCATCAGTTAGAAAATAACGTGTATAGGAGTCAGCACTGGTAGGCAACGAACCGAAAAGTGATCCTATTGGCTCAGAAATCAGCGATAGATCGAGTACATCAGTATTTATGTGTGCTTTATTCGTGATAATAGGACGCTCGGGTAACATCGCCATCCGATAGTCTGTCTTGATGAAAAAAGAAAAGCAGCACGACGACAAGAAAACAAAAACAGAGATATCTCTTTGATTTTATCTGTCGGCTCTAGGGACCACAAACCACGTGCAGTACACAAAACTCGAAACAACATTCTCCAATTGTGGTGTTCGCACCAAGAATGAATGACATTTCTGCATAGATAGCAGTATATTCGATAAGAAAGAAGAAGCATGGTACATAGTTTAGAGTTTTATTGTTTACTGCCTAATATAAGCAGGCTTAGATATAAATGTGGTTATGTCGAGCAAGCATGATGTATTTCGTTCTGGTATATCGACCAGCGATTCTAGAAATTATTTTTCGACTTCCAAATAACACGTGGGCAGAACAAGTTGATAATTAGCTGAGATCCTCACAATTGATGGAGAAGTTGGGCAATTATATTTAAGATTTTTTCTTCTCTTGTCCCAATTTTTTTTCGTATTCTCTTAATTGGATAATTGATCCTTTTATCTAAATCAATTCTGATTTAGACTGCAAAATACAGGATTCGATTGATTTGTCATCCCATACACATATATATTTATGTTCTTTTTCAAAAATATATCTATGCTAATTCATATACAAAAGCATCATGCCTGATGAAAACACTTCAATCGATTCATTACAATTGAAAGAACTTTCAATGATATCTTCTGAATAAATATCATAACGTCAACAAGTATCTGATTTACAAACTACCAATAAAAATTATCTAAAATCTATAGTTTCTCTTCCGCATAATCCCAAACAATATGATAACTGAAAGCATACTGATGTAGAATCGAATAATAATGAAAAGAAGATGAGACTGCTGATGATACATTTGTTTTACGAAATTTCGTGATTTTTTTTCTGGATAGGAACATGTAATTGCGTGGATGTAGATGCAAGTATATATGACGAAAAAATCTACACACGCACCTCATGCAGACATCAAAGTGCTGGGAGATTGGCATAGACCAACTACATGAAGTGTGTTCACTAGCAATCTGCTACATTATTGTTTTTAGAATAAAAATCATCTCAACTAGGTCAACTCGCTACCGAGTTACTGTTGGCCACGTAGCAAAAGTTATGAACTATGTAAAATTTCTTGAGAATCGATCATAAACATAAGATTCTGAAACTGAATTACACACAAAGTTATGTTTGATCTCATTTAAAGCCACATGTAACAAGAGCAGTTCACGAGCATCAGCCATCAATCTCTGAAAGTTTATTCTGATGATGAGAATCACACATTGACTATCACAATATTCATTAATCAGGAAATTGTGAAAATTTAAGCTCTAGAATCATAATATCTCTCATATTTCCCTTAATATGTGCATGATCTTGAATTACACTGATCCTGACAAATTACTAGATACTTGACTATGCCACGTGAAATGCATACGCTTTTCGTTTTCGGATGATTTTTTCGACTACGAACTTTAGCAACTGTATATCTCGATAACGCGTCTGACGTATCAATGCCATGAACGAGCAAACATTTTACTTTCAATCATGCTGATACAGGGCTGTTTTGTAGACAGAAGAGAAACCTAATTGTAGTTGTGTATTATTAGTACCATACAGTCAACAGTACAGATCGAAGTTTTGCACCATCATCCAGCTTATATAAAGCTCTACTGACCTCTTATATGATTTGGCAGTGTTTCAATTACAATGATGATGGTAACAAGCTCGTTCAGCATTCTCATTCTCTATAGTAAGTATCTATTTCTAAATAATTCATCACTATCACCTCATTTTTCGAACAGATGTATCAATCTCACTGGTGTAGAGTTATACATTCTATAATCAGACAAGCGTGTCAACATCGAATGGTGTAGCTACGTCCACGGGCAAAGTGGCTTGTTGTGTGACTAGAAGATAATTCAATCAATTATTCATTCATAGGCAGCAAAACTTATCAGCATGACTTTTATTGAATTGAAATTTTCAAAAGCTTTTAGAGATTACGTTTTCAGATATATATATAGTTTGACTGTTGTAGTATTGATGATTCTTCAATCAAAAGTTTTTCACCTGTTTTCGCATCAGCTGTCTCCAAAGCAAATAGTAAATTCAAATTTGAATTAAAGGCTCATATATTAAAGCATGAGAAAACTTTGAGCATTTCGAAAGACTTGTTGTATAGTATAGTAAGCATATTATCCTATATAATTTAATAAGATCAGTTTCAAAGAGACTTTTGTGTTTCGTGTGGTTAACAACTCGTGAAAGTACGCTTCAGTATTTTGTATGAATTATATTATCAGATGTTGGCTGCTATTTGCGATGGTGCATCTTATGGTGCCAACTTACTTGACCTTTCATCAACAATTCTATACGATACAATAATTTATATGTCAACAGCTAATGGTGTAGGCTGTACAGCCACGTATAGATGCTGCTTCTTGGACTTGTGTATCACATACAGCAAGTCAAAAGCCAGTGTTCACTATGTTAATACTGTCAGTCGTTTGTGACTCACTATCTTGGTGTTATTTGTATGTCTCAAGTGAACGAAAATTTCAGTAAATATCATGTTTTTATTTGCCATTTGCCATGATCAAAATAAAAATAAGAAAAGATGATTTTTTATTGCTAGGATGTAAGTGTGAGTTTAGATCTGAGCAAATGTTTTCCGATCATTCGGCGAGACTTTTGGCGACTACCGTGAATAACACTTTTTGAATATGTAGATATCAACAAGTGAAAAAAGACAACCTCTGTTCAATGCATTTCAACGTTGCCTACCCATTATGATACGATACATGAATGATAAAATCAGAATAGATAACGATACAAAAAGAACTTTTTTATATCCTCTTTACAACTCCTTTTAGAGCGACATTGGTTTTGTCTTATTTAATCAATATAAGGGTCATTCCACCGGAAATCGCCAGTCGATCCGGCGACCACGTCCAAATTTGTTGAAACTTTCAGGGTTTGTAGAGAATTTTTCGTTGATCATTTTGGTAATAAACTTTTTTAAAAATAAACTTTGTTTTCGCAAAGATATAGGTAAAATACAAAAAACGCACTTTCATTTTTTCAACAACAAAAAAAATGAATTTGTTTTCGAAATAGCGATGAAAGTCCCACTTTTTTTACTCGAATTTTAAAACCAACCAAATATTCAGATTCCTCGTGAAAAACTGCATTAGACTCCGTAGGAATTGAAACAATTTTGACGGCTTTTATACGGTCCACTAGGTCGCTAACGAGATGTGTAGTGTTTGAAAAATTCGATCAGAAAGTCAGAATTCATGGAAATAGTGGCACTAGCAGTTCGATAGAGCGAAGCTTGCTCTACAAGATGTACTAGTTAGTTTTCTTCCCGACTCTAATTTTGGAATGAACGAGCGTCAAAACTGTTTTCGATGACAAGTTTTTAGTCAATTTTCTTAAATTTATCAGTCAAATCTAATTATTTTTCTTTAATATATGTACCCAAGTTCCTTAAAATGTTCAGGACTTGTAGAGCTTTTAACGCTGAGTATTTTGGTTCTAAATTATTGAATATTCAACTCTATTTTCATGAACATATAAGTGAAATAATAGAAGCATATATTTTTCCCTTATGATTATTTTGCATAAAAAAATGCATTTTTTTCACAAAAATGAAACTAATGACACCTTAGTATTTGCTTAAATTCTAAGTCTGATAATGTATTCAGATTGAGCATGGAAAGCTGCATAAGAATCTGTACAATATGCATGAACTCTGAAGTACCCATCAAATATTGTTTTGATCCTATGTGATATACATGTAACGGAGAATGAATGGGAAAGACTATAGAATTAATTAAAAAAGGAAATAATCTAAAATAAGGCCTTGATCGATTCATTTTAACTAGCTTCCTTCACAATTCGAATTCTACAGAGAGCAATTGTCGAAAACTTTTATATGTGAATGTTTATAATCTAGAAATCGATGTGTGTTTAATTTATTTCGTTGAAGTATTTGTTAAGAATTACTATTATAAATGATGGTAGTAGTTTGAAACGAGAAATGTTTTGATTGGGTTAAACATCAATCCATAATATATGTATTAATACAAAAGGAGGCGTTTTGATATTAGTAAAAATCAGGGATTCGTAGANCTATTATTCATCCATACCCACCACACATACCCACACCCTCGATTTTAATTCATTTTCTGAAACATGATTGAAAATAAATGTTGAAGTTATAGAGCGATAAAGTTGGATCCTTTTCTCTTCGTGCCTACAGATCGCGACAGACATTTCGACATGCTGCTCGTTAGGTTTTATCGCCGGCCGTGGTCAATAGAATGAGGATCTGTATACTAAAATAAAGCAGCTCCTTCTTGTTTTACATGTTAATCTTGAAAGGATTCTACTGAAAGTTTTTTAGTTTAATTATGATTAATTTGATTATAATACAATGTGTCCTAAATCTCCCTTCCTAAAAGATTCTTCGTTTCTATTTCACTATTGACTGAACTTCATTGAGTAATCTTTTTTTTTTGGATTATAGATAAATGCACGGAAATTTTATTTCTAAAAACGAACTTGAAAAGGATTGTTGAAAGTTAAGACCTTTACTCGAAATACAAAAATTTAGTTTGTTTTCTTTTTCTAGAAAATCATTACATAGCATTTCATTTTTAATAACTTCGCGTTGTTGAGTGATTCGAATCTTTAAATTGTCCCATACTGGAACGGTCTTGTTACAGAATTCTTTTTTGGTATGTCTTTACAAAAACAAAAATGAATAATACCAAATCAAAATTCAAGCAATTAAAACACATCATCCATGAGTATTTCCGGAAAGAGAACACAAGCTAAATTTTTTGTATTTTCCGCAAAAAATCTTAACTTTTAACAATTCTTTTGAAGTTTGCCTTTAGAAATAAAAACTCCGTGTATTCAGCTATAATTCAAAAAAAAATAGTCAATGAAGTCCAGTCAATAGTGAAATGGAAACGAAAAAACTTTTAGGAAGGGACTTTTAGAACAT